ACAACTTAGTTTGATGGAGCTTATAACTCAGTTTTTCCCAGAGACAAAAGGACTGAACCTTACAAGAAGGAGTCGATTCAAAGTCCTGTTCATCCTTGATGGATTGGATGAATTTCGCCTTCCTCTGAACTTTGCTGGTAATGGGATGTGTCATGATGTTTCATCTCCAGCCTCTCTGGATGTTCTCCTGACGAACCTCATCAAGGGAAATCTGCTTCCTTCTGCTCTCATCTGGATCACCACTAGACCAGCAGCTGCCAGTAAGATTCCTCCTGACTTTATCGACAGAGTGACAGAGATACGAGGATTTAATGATGTACAAAAGGAGGAGTACTTCAGAAAAAGATTCACAGATGAGAATCAGGCCAAAGAAATCATTGATCATGTTAAACAATCAAAGAGTCTCTTCATCATGTGCCACATCCCAGTCTTCTGCTGGATTTCAGCCACTGTTCTCCAGAACATTTTAGAGATGAAAAGAAATAGTGATGTGAAAAACGTTAATAAGACCTCTAAAACACTGCAGGAATCAAACACTGAAGACACTCCTAAGACTCTGACACAAATGTACACACACTTTCTCCGCTTTCAGATCCAGCAAAGCAGGAAAAAATATGATGGAGATGACAAACCAGATGTTTCCTGGGATAAAGACACCATCCTTTCACTGGGCAAACTAGCATTTTGTCAGCTGCAAAACAGCAACCTGATCTTTTATGACACAGACCTGGAAGCTTGTGGTATTGACATCTATAAGGCCTCAGTTTACTCAGGCATGTGTACCCAGATCTTTAAGGAGGAAACGGGGATAATAGTTGGTACCACATACTGCTTTGTTCACTTGAGCATTCAAGAGTTTATTGCAGCCCTTTATGCACATCTGATTCTAGACATCAACAAGAAAAGTGTGTTTGGTCAGGGCTCTACAGAACAGGAGAACAGAAATGAGTCCATGATTGATTTGCTGAAGACTGCAGTGGACAAGGCACTGGAGAGTAAAAATGGACACCTGGACCTTTTCCTTCGCTTCCTTCTTGGTCTGTCTCTCCAGTCCAATCAACGACTCTTACGAGGTCTGTTGACACAGCGAGAAGACAATGACCAGAGCAAAGAGGAAATAGTTCAGTACATCAAGCAGAAGTTTGAAGCGAATCTTTCTCCAGAGAGATCCATCAATCTGTTCTACTGTCTGAATGAACTGAACGACCAAACTCTGGTGAAAGACATTCAAAGCCATCTTAGCAAAGGAAGTCTTTCATCTGGTGACCTTTCACCTGCCCAGTGGTCTGCTCTGGCCTTTGTGTTGTTGACATCAGAGGAAGAGATGGAGGAGTTTGAGCTTCAGAAATTCAAGAAATCAGACGAGTGTCTCATCAGACTATCAGCAGTCATCAAAACCTGCAAAAAAGCTCTGTAAGTCATTGTTCAGAAGCCATTGTTCCATAGATTTTTCTACTAATGTGGTCAATATACACTCAACAAAATATAAACGCAACACTTTTGTTTTTGCCCCCGTTTCTTTATCAGTTAAACTCTCAAATATTGTTCACACATTTCTCTAAATCTGTGTTAGTCCGCACATTTTCTTTGCTGAGATAATACAATATATGCAATTGGGTTGGCGAAGGGGGTTCCCTGTGCAACACATTTTCTTTGCATAGAGTTGATCTGATTATTGATTGTAGCCTATGGAATGTGGTTCTTGGTCTATTGGACAGAGCTGGAACATATATAAGCTGCTCCAGAGCATCTCAAATATGTTCAATGGATGACATGCCAGGTGAGAATGCTGGTGAGTATCAGGGCCAGGTGAGTATCAGGGCCGACGATGACTGAGTGAAGGTAAGTGCTTTATATACTGTGTGTGTGTCTGTGAACAGGTGTAGTAAATTAGTAATCAGAGGAAAGTGAACAGCTGGGAGTGGGTTCAAGAGACTGGGTGACTGCGGTGAATATCTGACATTACCTCCTCTTCCAGCAGCAGCTCCTAATGCCCTAAACTGACACCGGGGTCGACCAAGTCTTCTAGGGCCCTGCAGGACATCATCTCTAGTCACCCAGGATCTTTCCACAGGACTGTAATCCTCCCAGTCTATGAGGTATCTCCTTGACCTTGTAGATGGTGGTAGGTTCCAGAATGTCAGGAGTAGAGGGTATCGCATCAGCTCAAGGGGGCTTTGTGGAAGAAGAAGAACAGGGTTTCAGGAGGGAAACGTGGAAAGTCAGGTGAATTCTGTACCTTGGTGGAAGTTGGAGCTGATACGGGAGTTCATTAATTTGCCTCTGTATTTTTATGGGACCAATGTAGCGAGACTCAGCTTGGGTCAAGTGAGATGAAGACATAGGTCCTGGGTAGAGAGTGTTGGACTGCCAGGAATCAGCAAAGCTCTTGCTCCCTCTCACTGCACACTGGAGTTGTTAGCTAAGTCCCACACTCTCTTGTTTGTTTAATCCACAGCTGGAAACTCAGATGGTACCCCTGTTCAGAGGAACAGGGGTGGTTGGTAGCCAAGTATGCACTGTAACGGTGTTAGTCTCATAGTCTTGGTGAAGTGAGTTTTGCGCATACTCGGTCCTTGAAATGAATTGGCTACAGCTGTCCTAGTCCTGGTGGCAGTATGACCTGAGGTACCGCCCGATCTTCTAGATCTTGTGGTCAGTTTGGCCGTTTGTCTGGGAATGATAGCCTGATGAGAGATTTACAGTGACACCAAGCAATCAGAAAAACGCCTTCCATACATGAGAGGTGAATGGAGGGCCCCGGTCTGACACAATCTCTTCAGGATTGACATGGTTACGAAACACATGTTGAAATAGCAACTCTGCTGTTTCAAAGGAACCAGTTTGCATGCTTTATAGCATGGGTAACCAAACTTGTTTCTGGAGGACCAGTGTGCTGCAGATTTTAGCTCCAACTCTAATCAACTCTAGTGTCGAACATGCACACTGTTTAATTTCCTTATTTATCAAAAGCACACACTTTTGTTGTTATTGTGAGTGTACACAAAGTAAACACCTAACAAATTTGAATAGTGTATAACACTTATTTGTGTGACCAAAATCAACAGAGTATTCTTAAACAGGTCACACACCAGATGTACTGCTCAGCACCATGACAGGGCGCGCACATGACAGTTGGAAGTATCACAAACCAGACGTGCACTTTTGCATTATATTTAAAATGAAATGTTAAATTTTTAAAGTTTTGAAAATGTATGTGCACACTTAGTATGTGGGTGTGGGTGTGTGTGTATATATATATATATATATATATATATATATATATATATATATATATATATATATATATATATCTCAAACCTAGAACATTTTTTACATTTGTTTTACACATGTATTTTTGTCATTATTTATTCTCTTGCAGATTAAATGATTGTAACTTAACAGACAGAAGCTGTTTAGCTCTGGCTACAGTTCTTGGATCAGTAAACAGTCTGAAAGTGCTGAATATGAATAATAATAATAATTTAAAGGATTCAGGAGTGAAGCTGCTTTGCACTGGACTGAAGAACATAAAGTGTGAATTGGAAATACTGAGGTAAGCACTGACACACAAGTGACCTTAGCCATAACTGATGTGAATGTGTGTCTGTCTACTGTTCTATCAGCTCGAATCAGTCTGGCAATTCACCTCTGACTTCAACAAGGCACACACACACATACACACATATACACATGCATACATACGCACAAGGGTTGGACGATGAAACTGAATCACTGGCTAGTTTAGTGATTGAGGTTTCATGACTAAATTTGACCAGCCTGATGGTGGCCTACTGATTGTACATTTCACAGAGCAGAGTGTGAAGTTTAATTAGCAGAGTAATAGCGGTTTTGCTTAAAATATTGCAATGCACACAACATTATGGAAGACATATCACAGTTCAAAAGAGGACAAATTGTTTGTGTGTGTCTCACTGGCGCATCTGTGACCAAGACAGCAAGTCTTTGTTATGTATCTATAATCACGGTAACCCGAGTAATGTCAACATTCAACAGGAATAACTGTGGACACGAGAGGAAGCTGTCTGAAAGGGATGTCTGGGTGCTAACACAGATTGTATCCAAAAATTATAAAACCACAGCTGCTCAACTTACTGCAGAGTTTAATGTGCACCTTTCCTGTGTCCACCAAAACTTTTCATTGGGAGCTCAACAGGGTCAATATACATGGCCAGGCTGCTATAGCCAAACCTTTGGTCACTCGTGCCAATGCCAAATGATGGTTTTATGTTACCAGCAGCACAAATCTTGGTCTAATATTTTATTGATTTATAGGTGTCTTGTTTGTTTATGTATTCAGTGTTTGCTATGAAATTCAGCACAAAGAACATTATATTATTCAGTTCAGAGATTAATATTGTCACTGTCATTTTAAAAATGGGTGGTTAAATTAAATGCTACGTTTGAATTTTTTTTTCAGTCTTTCAGACTGCAGTATCAGTGAAGAAGGTTATAAAGCTCTGGCTTCAGCTCTGAGATCAAACCCTTCACACCTGATAGAGCTGGATCTCAGAGGAAATGATCCTGGAGAATCAGGAGTGAAGGAGCTCACTAATCTACTGCTGGATCCACACTGTACACTGAAGACAATGAGGTAAGGCATTATAATTTTTTTTTATAAAAACTAGATATGTAACAGGATTCATAAATCGCACATAAAGGATTGAGTAGGTGGGAACTGATGAATGTTTAACTTAAGCTTAAATACATGTAGTACATTTACAAACCTTCAGTGTCTTGTGTCTGATAATAGATGTCTATTTCAGTCAGTTAAGTTTTTTCTGAAAAATATATTTGTCCAGTTCCCAAACACATTGCGGCTTGGTCCTCAACCAGCTGAGAGAACTTCACTTGCAGTGACAGTACCTCTGAATACCTCTCATTGGACATCATTATATTCTCTCTTATCTGCTAATAGCTGCCAATCAGATGTTTGTCAAGTTTGTTGACCTAACTGAACCATGGATCATCTTCTTCAGGTTTTTGAGTCCTGCTGCTGATGAAGGCTGTCAGTTTGTGACTGGAATTTTAGGTAAAAACCCGTTACTCCTGAAAGAACTCAATCTGAGTGATTGTGAACTAGGAGACACAGGAGTGAATCAACTCTCTGCTCTACTGCAGGATAAACACTGTAAACCTAAAACACTCATGTGAGTACTCTTAATTTATTAACACATTTAAATTATATTCATAAAAAATGTAATTTCCAATGACCAGTGACATGCAAGTATATTGTGTTTGTAAATTCTTCCTCTGCACACCAACATTTTAGGCTGCGTGGTTGTGGTCTAAAAGAGGAAACTTGTTCAGCTCTGGCTACAGTTCTGGGATCAGACACCAGTCTGAAAGAGCTTGACATGAGCAACAATAATCTGCAGGATTTAGGAGTGAAGAAACTCCAGAGCGGATTAGAAAATACAAACTGCACACTGGAGAAACTCAGGTGAGACTGGAAAAGAGAAATGCCTGCTTTTATTTATGGCCTGGAACAAGCGAATACAGATGCATTTGTATCTTACTTTGGAGTAAAAATCAACATTAATTAAGTCTCCTTCATTGGTGATTGGTTTATCTTGAATCATATGACCGTTTTAACCTCGTTTTGAGTTAGTATAGATTATTTCATCCCTTAATTTATGATCTTTGATCTGATCATCATTTTGCACTTTTCTGAACATTAATTTTTGAACCAACTATTTTAACATCTGGGGCTAATATACTGTTTTTTTTATCACAATAGACAAATTCCCAGTTCATTCAAAGTCCAGAAAGGTACAAAAAACATTCCCAAAATGGACTGTATGCCTTCAGTGTTTATAGTGTGCAGTGATCATGAACAAGTGCCCTATGCTGACACAGAGGAGAACTGTTGAATAAATTAATAGTTTTTATGTGCACTCAAGTATTGTTGTAACTTGATAATACTGTGATTGAACCACTGGCATGAGGTCTGTTTTGAGGATTCTTTTTTTTTTCTAAACTTTGAATGAGATGGGAACCTTGCTGTCTATGGAGGATAAGGGAGATGTCAGATTTCACCTAAAATATCTTAATTTGGGGTTTGAAGATAGATGTATGTCTCAGGTGATTAAAAACAACATGACTCTGAATAATTACAGTTTTTCTCAGTTGCTTTCGTGCATTTCTCCCAACACTATTTACATTTGCACAACAGTTAATGCATTTCTCAAAACAATTAGTCATTTGTGCACATCATAGTAGCAGTTTCCCATTCCTTCCAACAAATTTCAGATGCTTTTGGACATGCATCAATTGCTTTCATACAACTCTGTGCTGTTTATAACATTATCATTTACTTATGTCATGTCAGTCATAATTAACTAAACTTGTGAATGATGAATTGTCATTCTATACAAAACTAATAGTCCTCATTTCATTAGTTGAGGCATTACATGTGAAAATCTTAAACTAGCTGTCAAAATCAGTCAAGCTAATTTTTTTTTTAAATGATCTTTTATTTTCCTGAAAATGTCTTCTAAATTGAACAGCTTAATGAATGATTTACAGACCTGTGTGTGTTTTAGGTTCAGTTCCAATATGTTCTGCAGTATTGTTTACAGTTGTGCACAGCTCTACCCAAAGGAAGTTTATGTTTGTTGTAAATAAGTTTGTATTTATTTTTTTGCACAATGCTGTAAATAATTTAAAATTGCAAAAAGCATCTGCAGTAAACCTGTGAAACATACATATTCAGTGTCTTGTACTCAGATAGCTTACTAAATGCAGTGATGTCTAACTTTACATTAGTTTTCAAATGGCTGTGCAAATAGTATATAGTGCTGTCTTGAGCATTTTTATAAACTGTCACCAAATACTTTTTTTCATTGGAAAAAACCTACAGAGTAAACTGTCATAATGAAAACATGACTAAGCCATTTTACTATCCTGTTCATAAACAATGGTGTCAGGACTTTTCATTTTGATGACACTGACACTTTCATTGACATGAATACTTGCTTTTGAGGAATAAGCTCTCCATTTTGGGCAAGTGACACGCTTTTGTAGGTTATCAACTAGGTTTTGCAGTTTGTAATAATTGTTTTGAGAAATGCATTAACTGTTGTGCAAATATAAATAGTGTTGTGAGAAATGCACCAAAGTGACTGAGAAAAAACTAATTACATCATTTTAATTTTGGGGTGATTTAACCCTTAAAGCAAAATGAAAGAACAAACATAGACGGCGGATGGATGGATGGATGGATGGATGGATGGATGGATGGATGGATGGATAGAAAAAGCTTCTTTGTCATTTTAGTCACTTTAGTTGTAACAAGACAACTTTCATAGTCTTTCAGACTGCAATATCAGTGAAGAAGGTTATAAAGCTCTGGCTTCAGCTCTGAGATCAAACCCTTCACACCTGATAGAGCTGAATCTCAGAGGAAATGATCCTGGACAATCAGGAGTGAAGGAGCTCACTGAGTTACTGCAGGATCCACACTGTACACTGAAGACACTGAGGTGAGTGTCATTAATATAATAATGTGTTCCTCTTTTATTTCATGTACAACTGCAATCTTTAATAATAATGACTCAATTCTATAATTAAATTTAAACTTGCATCAGATTTCAATGAGAAAAAATATGCATAGACCCAAAGTGCTTTAAAATCATTTATAGGGGTCTTTCCACACCAACATTAATGTGCAGGACAATGGACAACATTATGTGCAACATTGTGTTGGTTGGGATGTACACTGTTTTTGTGGGGAAAATACAGTAAAATATATTTGGTACAAATATTTAGTTTATCTGTTTTGTATAAAAACAATATTCTAAAGTATTTTACAATGCACTTCTGTAGGCTTATGTACTGTCTGTAGTAAGTGTAGCACTGAACAAAAAAGGCTTACAGTAAGTCATTATGATGAATGGAGAAGAAATGGTCAAAGTGTTTTACAATAAGCACAACAGTGCTTAACTGGTTCTTATAAATGTCTGTTCATGTGATGGTTTGTGTTTGTCATTTGAAAGCAAAAGGCTATTTTGAGAAGAAATTACATTGTTTTGAATTTGAAGTTTCATTTTGCAGGAGAATTGAAGGGTTTTGCTCAATGTGTGTGTGTTTTTTTGATTTGTGAGTAGTTCCAATGACATGGGGCATGCTTTCAGAACATTTATCCATCCTCAGACCGAAAAAAAACTTAAACTCAATAAGCCTGCAATTTGAGTGTAAAGCGGGAATTGTGCTTGTAGTTTAGCAGAATTGGTTCAAGGGTCTGGTGCATCAGTTACATGTTGTAGTCATTGTGTTTGAAGTACAAGTCATTGTGCGTAAACAACTAAGAAAAACTGTAAGTGGATGAGGAGATTTGCATGTAGGAATACATGATTGGTTTTGTTTAACGGAGGGAGTTTGGCCAGGACATAGTTGTCACACCCCTACTCTTTGTGTAATGAGATTTTAATGCCCACCGAGAGTCAAGAGCATTAGTTTATTGTTTTATCTGGAAAACTTATTTCAGCATAGTGTCCATGGGCTCTATTTTGAAGGTCCATCCTCAAAACGGAAAGCACAGGACGCAAACGCTTTCAGGGTGTGTCAGAATCCATATTTGCTAACTTAAGGACGGGAAAATCCGCTTTGCGCCGTAGCGCATGGTCTATAAGGGTTGAGTTTATTTTCTTAATGAGTTATAGGTGTGTTTTGAGAATAAACCAATCAGAGTCTCAACTCCCATTCCCTTTAAGAGCCAGCTGCATCGCGCCATAAGTGCATTCGCTATTTACATGACGTAAAGTAAGTCTAAGTGGAAAAACTGAGCATTTCACAAGCAAACAGTTTACAGTTTTTTAACAGAAAACAGTTAAACAGAGCATCTACCGTGCAAGAATGAGAAATAAATGATCTACTTTCGCTTTTGCTCTCGTGGGTAGGGAAACCTTATACGCACAGACATCACTTAGCCTATAAATAATTAATTTAGTTTGTTAAGCGCAAAGATTTGTTTCAAAATTATTTCTAAGTTCAGTTCTAATTTCCAGCAAACGAATAAATGAACAATAATAACGAAGTGTGCTCAAAAACCTGAATTATATCTAAATACACATGCTGTGCCCCATATGGTCTAAAACCTGGAGTTGGACAAATCTAAGCTTGTTTTTAATAAAACAAATATAAATATGGATATAATAAAATAATACTGCTAATAATAATAACATTATACAAAAGCAAATTGTTATGAATGAACTGAAAAAGCCTCCCGAGATAAAGAAGACATAAAAGCAGTGATTTTTCATATTTATGTAGGCTAGAAAATTACATGTTTTGTAATATTTTATATATATATATATATACATACATACACATATATATATATATATATATATATATATATATACATACATACACATATATATATATATATATATATATATATATATATATATATATCCTTATTATATCCTATATATATCCTTAATATTTAATTTTTTTCATATGTAAAGATATTAGCGTATTGCTCTACATCTTCTGTGTAGGCTATTAAGCAGTGTGTAAGCGAGGCGCCAATCTGCGCTAGACTTTAGACCGGGTTTGTTTTGGTCTAATGAAAAATCTATTTTAGTTTCTCAAAATAACAACGCGCCAGCAATGCACCTCAGAACGCCTTTCTTTTTAGACCAGAATGCCTATGGGCGCACTTATAAGCGCAAATGCATTTGCTATTTAAACAACGTGGTGCAAAACAGCAAAACGACACTTGCGTCAAGCTGAAACTAGCAAATAACATTTGCGCCACGCCGCATTGCGCCGGGCGTATGATAGGGCCCCCTGTCTCTAAACTGGGACCCACAAATACCACAGGCTGAGCACCCCCTGCTGCCCTTACTAAGGCTTTTCCAGGTGGTCTTGCATCTCGGTTCTGACCAGCCTCATCCAAATTAACTTCACTGTTTTGGGCTGCAGACATTGTAATATGCGATAGGGAATAACATTATGGTGGCTAAGTGGCTTCATGTCTTGAGCAATCCAGTTTACTATTATAGATCAGTCTTGCCTTTTAATATTAAAATCACTCTGCACCTTTAACCTTTTCTGTCTCCAGGTTTTTGAGTCCTGCAGCAGAAGAATTCTGTCAATTTGTGACTGGAATTGTGGGTAAAAACCCGTTACTCCTGAAAGAACTGTATCTGAGTGATCATGAACTAGGAGACACACGAGTGAATCAACTCTCTGCTCTACTGCAGGATAAACACTGTACAGTCAGCACACTCATGTGAGTGTTTATCGTTTATTTAGTCATGTATTTTTAAAGTGTTAATTGTTCTCACTACTTAATAAATGTGGATATCAAGTATTTTTTCATTTGTAAATTCTTCCTCTGCTATTCAATATTTTAGTCTGCATAATTGTGGTCTAACAAAGGAAAGCTGTTCAGCTCTGGCTTCAGCCTTGAGTTCAGACACCAGTCTAAAAGAGCTCGACCTGTGCAACAATAATCTGCAGGATTCAGGAGTGAAGAAACTCCAGAGCGAATTACAAAATACAAACTGGAGACTGAAGAAACTCAGGTGAGATTGGAAAAGGGAAATGCATGCTTTTTCCAGTCTGATTATAGCTTGTTTTGATTATATAATTTAAAGATGTATTTAAAATTATGAAAAAAAATAATGGTCTGAATATTGTTTGTAAAATTAAGCTAACACTTATATTTATGATGCATTATGAGGAGGTAGACTAAATAGAAAATAACATGCAGACATTTTTGTGGGCATTGAACTTTTCTGTTCACATTTTTCAAATTTAGTACAACTAGATAATTTACACTTAAGATGAAACTAGCAAATGTATGCGTATAATAATTTAAACGTTTGTAGTTACCGCTGTTTACTCTAATTTCAACTACTCTGCTTCATCTATGCATTCTTATAGATTGATTGATTGTTATTATTTTTTTCCAGGCTCAGTAAGTGTGATCTAACAGAGGAAAGCTGTTCAGCTCTTGCTTCAGTTCTCACATCAGACTCCAGCAGTCTGAAGGATCTTGACCTGAGCAATAATAATCTGCAGGATTCAGGAGTGAAGCTGCTCTCTGATGGACTGAAGGACAGTAAACTGGAGAAACTCAGGTGAGCTGATGTCTTATTTATTAAAGTTCTCTGAACATTTTGATTGCATTATTGTTGTCATGAATTTTATTGTTAAAGTAACAGTTCATAAACAGTTTAAATGTATATACTGATATTGTTTCATTTTCATAAAACTGAAATCCCTATTACAGTCTTTCAGACTGCAGTATCAGTGAAGAAGGTTATAAAGCTCTGGCTTCAGCTCTAAGATCAAACCCTTCACACCTGATAGAGCTGGATCTCAGAGGAAATGATCCTGGACAATCAGGAGTGAAGGAGCTGATAGAGTTACTGCAGGATCCACTCTGTACACTGAAGACACTGAGGTAACATTTGAATAAAAACATGCATATGAAATAATAACAAACATGTTGTGTTACTAATGCCACATTCAGCACAATTTATTGTTGTATCAGAGTTAAAGTGATTAACAAAAATCAGTTTATTTTCCTTTTTCATTTTTTCTTCAGGTTTTTGAGTCCTGCTGCTGATGAAGCCTGTCAGTTTGTGACTGGAATTGTGGGTAAAAACCTGTTACTCCTGAAAGAACTGAATCTGAGTGATCGTCAACTAGGAGACACACGAGTGAATCAACTCTCTGCTCTACTGCAGGATAAACACTGTACACTCAACACACTCATGTGAGTATTGTGTAATCTGTTAAAATGACAATTACATTTTCAATTATTTGCTTTGATCTTGTTTTTTCTCAATTTTTAAATGAATTCAATCTCTTTGTTTTCTTTCTCTTCAGGCTGAATAATAACAGGATTACAGCAGAAGGTTGTGCTGCTTTGACTTCAGCATTTAATTTAAATCCATCAAACCTGATGGAGCTCACTCTGAGTGGAAATAAACTAGAAGACTCAGGAGTAGAAAAGATCTGTTCTCTGCTGAAAAATACACAGTGCAGATTGAAGAAACTGAGGTCTGTATTTTATTTTATTTTAATATTTTATTTTATTTTATTCTATTTTTTGTAGATGTCTGCATGTAAGTATACAACTATATTTATGTGTAATGTATTGTGCATTTTATTTTCACAAAATCACAAACACACAAAATTTATTACAAAATGTCTGTATGATCAGATTAAAAATAAGTTTTAGATTACTCTGATACGTGCAATTTTCATGGCTACTTCAAGCTTTAAATATAATTTGTTATATTTATATGTCTAAACAAAACTGGTGTTATCATTTAAAAATTGATTGCCAGGCTTGACAGTTTTTCTTATATCTAGTCTTTCAGACTGCAGGATCACTGAAGAAGGATATAAAAGTTTGACTTTGTCCCTGAAGTCAAATTCACACCTGATAGAGCTGGATCTCAGAGGAAATGATCCTGGACAATCAGGAGTGAAGGAGCTCACTGATTTACAACGGGGTGATTGCTGTAAATTAAAAACCGTCAGGTAACACCTGTCTTAGAATATTTCCAAAAACAGAGTCAACTAGCAACTAGTTCAAGCAGACAAATTGGGCTATGTGGCATTGAGATGACAAGAAGAAATGTTATCAGAATTTCAAGTGAAACAATCAACAATGTCACATAGCTGGTTTTAATAAGACAAACTTTTCTGAAACGATTTTTGAAATTAGGTTTTCTTTAATTGAAGGTATTACATTTATTTTTACCTAATTACTACCGTATGATTTGTTTTGCAAACCGCTCTTTTGAGGTGATCAGAAACTAAATGTTCATCATGGCTTACAAATGTTAAAGCAAGCAGCCATGATACAGATTAGATATAAGAGCCCAATGCCGGAATCTATTGAAAAAGCACTGCAGTTTGTAGACCATCATCTTGCTCTATTCTTCATCATAACTTCAAGTTATAGCAACAACATACATTCAGTATTAAATCGACACGTTGGAAAAAATGTAACTATTTTGACTTGTCCGCAAGATTTGTTCTGGTGCATGAGAGATTTGGTTGGCATGTTCAAGCCATTGAAATCAATGAGTTTTGCAGTGCAGCACTTTCAGTGTTTGGTGTGAAAGCTGCTTTAAGCAGGTCTCATACCAGACAAATAGTGCCACACTGTCTTTACCTTATTATCTGTTCATCACTAAGCAATGCGATCCATGTTATCCATGTGTCCGCTATGCATACCCCATTTAGCTGATTAACCAGAGACCTTCAAAGCTGCACAGAGCGAACACCACTTACACTAAATATATATTTTGCATACTACAAAGCATAAGAAGGCAACCATTTGAGTCATACCTAAAGGTTGTGATTTGGTAGAAGTAGGTCCAAATAAACTGAGTAATAACAAAGTCCCATGTACATATAAGGTGGAAGCTGCAGTGCGGTCAAACACTTTGTGCTTTCTGTAGTGTACTAAACCAAAGCTTTATTTGCAGTATTATTTGTCTAATCAAACAAAGAACGATTTTATTTTGGACTGTGTCTCTATCTACAAATTATTTTCTGTAATGTTAGTTCACAAAATAAATAAATAAAAAAACATTGTTTAACTTCAACACAGACCTATGGACAGTAAATTCAGAAAGAAAAAACAACATTTGTGCATGTGTAGATATTTAACACAATATAAACATTACTATAAGATTACAAATGCATAAAAATAGATTATTTAAACAAGGACCTTGTAAAAATATTTTATTTTACAATTTTTTCAATTGTTTGAATGGACGAATGTGATGAATGTTAGGTTTTTAAAACGAATAAGAAAATAAAATAGAAAGATGAGTAATTAAATTGCACAAAGTTTAAATAAGATTAAACGAATGAACAAGAAACAAATACAAAAGAAAAACTTTCAAAATTACATTACAAAAATGTACAAAAATCGACACAGTCTTTAAAAATAAATAAATAAATAAATAAAACACTGTAAATTGGCATTTATTAACAGTGAGGGTTACATGTTTTTTGCCAGGAATCCTGGCCAATATGTTGACCATCTCTGGCTTAAGATGGGATCTTGTGGGGCTCACTATGTTCCCCATCGTGCTGAACACACTCTTAGATAAGCAGCTTGTTACACGCAAAGATACTTTTTGGTTACATTTGCTAACAGGGGGAACATGTTTGGTTGTCTTTTGTTGTCCTACCTGACTTCAATTTCTTAATGTATTATTTAGCCTAATGCATTATATATTAATAGCTTAGTCCTTATGAACAATTTGTTTATAAAATAGCCTTATTAACGAATTTATAGGCTATTGAAGAATAAACCGAATATGAAATATGATCCTTGCATAATGATCACAACTAAACAAGCTAGCACTCATTTTATATATAAACTATAAATAAAAAAGAAATAAATGTTAAAAAATTAAACATTGTGTAAAAAATCTAAAGACTACAGGCTAAATAAAAGTGCTCGTCAGAGCTAAACATCCCCGCACGCATGTCAGTTTACAGCTTCGGTAGAGATCAGACAGCCACAGATGTACATCTACAACATGTAAATGTATAAATATTTCGATAAGTATTTTATGGAATATTTATAACTATATGATCTTGCTTTTTTGGTTATATCGATACCAGCTTTGAGCTCTCTTACAAGCGCAGTTGACAGGCGCAGGTGTCTTATGTCACTGTCAGTGGCGGATTACACACAGCATACCCTGGCAAGATGTTTTATTTGTTGCCGATTGGCTAGTTGTTCCTTTTTTAAAACACCTTTTATTTTTAAAATCCCTCAAGTTAATGTTTTCTATCGAGTAATATAGTCTCCCTCGGAGATATTGTAGTTCAGTAACGTGTTGCGCAGCATATAACCGTGAAGCTTAAATAGGCTGAGCATATTTTTATTAATATTAAGACACATTAATACAAACTAGCCACCCTTTGATTTTTTTTAGTCTACGTATATTTTTATCAAATGAAAAATGCAATGAATAGTTTAATTTGGTTTTCATTTTATTAGAACTAATATAATTAATAGGCTACACAACTCCTATTGACAGATTTCGCAAAGGCTTTAGCTATTCTACCTGTCAGCTGGTACCAGCCTCAGTTTTGTGACTTGACCTGTGTGGCGTCTCGATGTCTGAATGACAGCGAGAGAGAGATGAGATCAGACCTCAGATTCGATGTGTAGCTGCACTTCACAGTTACTTTTTATAGCAATTTTTAATATTGGCTCACCTAAATTAACTTTTCATTTATTAAAAGCCGAAATATTTCCAGACAGACAAAGCAACTTTCGGTTTTTAAAGAGAGCGGCCTCTGTGATAAAAGACGTGCGCACATACAGGTTACACTTTTTTAGGCATATTCATCTTTTATTTTTTTACATGAAATGCATAAAGTGCAAAAAAGAAGAGCTGAACTTCGGAAAAAGTGCTCACTTCAGTTGCCGTGATGATTGGTTTGTTTCTCTGCAGTTGGCTTGTCTATGGCGCGGCATTGGTACATCATTCTTGTTTTAATAAAAATAAGATATTTATTATTAAACAGTGTGAGATGATAGTCGAGTGATTTTTAAAATGAGAGTATGCCTTGCATATTTATTCTCACGTGTTAAATGAAATATGACGCATTACTATGTTCAGATTTTAATTATAGTGCATGCTCTGGTCTTAAGTAAATTATTACGAGTTCTATTTTCCATTTAATTCAAATAAATATTTCATTAAAAAAACCCGAATACTTAGAAAAAACAAATGTGAGGACGGTGTCACGGTGAAAAAGTGATGTCACCGGTGTTGCGTCTTAAAACCGGTATCACCGTCAACATCGTCTATCGTGGCAAGCCTAATACTTGCAGATAAATGACATTACTGTACTATAAAAATCTGCAAAAAAAGGAAATACTAAAATCGAAATCAGACTAGGTCATATGGGGATATCTTTAAAACAAATAATCTGGTATTAGTAATTACAGTAGTTTGTGTTTTTAATTCATCTTGTCTTTAGGAACTGCAAAAAATGTTGGTTCACTTTAAAAAAAATTACAACATTAGGTTTGTTATTTTCTAGACTACTTTTGTGGTGCCACAAAGTCAAACAAGTCTCTTGTCTCTTTGTAATAATACTTATATAATTTGCCGTCTGTTTGGTAATTAAATGATTTTGACTAATTTTGCTTTTTTATTCCCTGACTTCTCAGCAAAAGTGCAAGACAGTATCATAATTTTAATCAGTGCCAGACTGAACCTACATTATGAAGGCATGGAAGCTACAAAAAAAGCATGACATTCTAATGTATCTATTTTTTGCTGTTTTGTTTAGGTTTTTAAAGAGTTCTGCTGCACAGGAAGCGTGTGACTATCTTACTAAAGCTGTGGGTAAAAGTCCATTATTACTGACAAAACTGGATCTGAGTGAAGTTAAATTAGGAGATCTGGATGGAGAGAAACTCTCTGCTCTTCTGAAGGACTCTCATAGCAAAGTGGAGAAAATCAAGTGAGTGAACAGAAGTTTATAAATAGGCCAGATGTATTCACAGCTTGTTACAGCAAACATTTTGCTTTTAACACAGTACACTCTTCAATGCAGTCTTATATGTCCTTTATATGTCTGTTCTCATTGTGACTGAACAGCCAAATACAGAAACTGTTGTCAAAATGTACATATTGTGGACTATCATACATACAGTAAATACAGTTGGATATGGCTTACTGTCAGTAAACATGAAAAGGCATGCGAGCTGAACACAAGGGTTACATTTGCACATCAAAGGTTTTTGTTGTCTTGTGGTTACTTGTATTCACCTTATGTCTATTTTGTGAATATTTCTACTCTTAGGCAAATAAATATATAAATATATATTGGCATAAATAAAATGTAACTATACTTTTGTTCAATATGTCTACCAAAGCTGTTTTTATTAAATATCTTTTTTATGAACTTTGACATCATGAATCACAGTTCTTTTTCTTAGCCTGGAACTGTCAGTCTTGTGTGAGGTCTGTTCATCTGATGTGTTTATTATACTGTGTGCTGAGTAATAAATAATGCTGTTTTTGTGTTTAGGCTGAATAATTGTGAGCTGACAGAGAAAAGCTGTTCAGTTCTAGCTGCTGTTCTCTCCTCCAAAACCATCCTGAAAGAGATGAACCTGAACAACAGTCGTCTGCTGGACTCAGGAGTCAGAGAGATCTGTGAGGGGCTGAAGAATCCTGTGTGTGAGCTGAAGATACTCAAGTCAGTACATTTACCAGCAGATACATTGAACACCACTAGGCCTGTCATGATATTTACTGAACTTACTTGAATGTAAGAAGTAAACATAACCACAATAGTTTTGCTGGACTCAGTAACACCTACTGCTTCTGTCATCCTGTCTGCTCTGAGTCAGAAGAAGCATCCAGGCAACACAATAATAAAAATGTAGACATTGTAATTAAATGTTATATTTCATTTGTGTATTTTATCCTCTAGCCTTTCAGACTGCAGTATCAGTGAAGAAGGTTATAAAGCTCTGGCTTCAGCTCTGAGATCAAACCCTTCACACTTGATAGAGCTGGATCTCAGAGGAAATGATCCTGGACAATCAGGAGTGAAGAAGCTCACTGACTTACTGCAGGATCCACACTGTACCCTGAATACACTGAGGTAAGTGTTATAATTATAACAATCTTTGCCACTTTTATTTAATTCCATGCACAAAGCAAATCATTAAATTATAATGACTGGATTCCATGAAGAAATCCATACTGACATCAGACTTCAGAGAGAAAAAAAGCCAGTTAGGTGAAGCCATCAATTAATACTATAATTGAACGAATATATTTATATTAATTATATAGCACAATTATTGTGTATTGCCATACACTCAAAGTGCTTTACAGTCATATGAAGGGATCTCTCCTCATAACCACCAGTGTGCAGCATCCACCTGAGTGCCACAAGTGCTTCACCACACACCAGTTGCAGGTGAAGAGAAAAGAGAGCCATTTCAGTGGATGATTTAGAGGACGTTAAGTGATTGTCGATGAAGGGAATTGACTTTACCTGAAGCCATGCCAAAAAATTGCAACCGTTGCCTGGGGCAGGAGGTCTGTCAAGTTTTCAAGTGAGCGAAACATGCCGAAGTGTTGTGCATACCGAATGTGCAAATCTTATACTCGGTATCTTGTAAGTTTGGATGGGGGTGGTGGAATGTTTTCCCTTCCATAAAATAAACAATTTTTAATGTTACTGCTTCCTGTATGGTGTTGATTGGTCGCCGCTTACAGTTTTTATTGGCTTTAGTGACAACTAGGAATGATAATGGGACTGCCCTCATTTTGTTAGCCCTTGGCTTGTGGAAGGTCTGTGGTAGACTCATGTAGGAGGACCTTGTTTGTGTTGTTGATGATACTGTGTGGTATCTGTGATATTGATGATACTGTGTGGTAATCAGGTTCTGATTAGGATCATCCTTTTTTTCTGGCCAGGCTCATCCCCACTTAGCTTCAGTGTCTTGGGCTGGAGTAATGATATTTGATAAGGAATAGCATTATGGTGGCAATGTGGCTTCATATCATGGGCATCACAGTTTACTATTACAGATCAGTCTTGCCTTTTAATATCACAATTACTCTGCACCTTTAATCTTTTCTGTCTCCAGGTTTTTGAGTCCTGCCGCAGAAGAAGCCTGTCAGTTTGTGACTGGAATTGTGGGTAAAAACCCGATACTTCTGAAAGAACTGAATCTGAGTGATCATGAACTAGGAGACACACGAGTGAATCAACTCTCTGCTCTACTGCAGGATAAACACTCCAAAAGTTACACACTCCAGTAAGTATTTGGTATTTTATTGTCATTTCTGTTGTTTAAAGTGTTTAGAACTATTCTAGAGATTTGTTCTTCTTGTGTTATATGTGTGGCAAAAAATAAACTAAAGGTTGTTTTCTCTCTTTGTTTTCTTTCTCTTCAGGCTGAATAATAACAGGATTACAGCAGAAGGTTGTGCTGCTTTAACTTCAGCATTTAATTTAAACCCTTCACACCTGATAGAGCTCAATCTGAGTGGAAATGAAGTAGGAGACTCAGGAGTAGAGAAGATCTGTCCTCTGCTGAAAAATACACAGTGCAGACTAAAGAGACTGAGGTCTGTATTTACATTATTGCACATTTCTACGTAAAATGTCAAATTTGAGTTTGATTTTATGAAGTTATGAAAATGTGGTTTTAGTTTAACCTTTTCATTTCTGTTTCACTGTGACTAGTATTCTGCCTACCATCTCCTGTTTTTGAAACTATTATTTAATTAACATTCATCCATTTTAATGAATTAAGTCTTTTATATTTACCTATAATGCCCACTTTTGCTACACTTTTTATTAAGGTTTAATGCCTTGTGACTAAATGAAGGGCACCAATGGGATTGTGTACACCAACGTGAAAAAAATGCCAGGCATAAAAGCATCATTAAAGAAACACCTCATGCTCTGTTTTCTTTTTTTTTGACTCACAACTTCTTTTCTTTTTTGTCTTGCAAGTTCATTAAGTGCCACATTATATCAGTTTTTTTTTTTTAACTCTTTTCAATTTCGATGAAAATCACATGGGATTAAATGAAGGAAAACATCTCTAAAAATACTGACGATAAGTGAGTGAGTGAAAAGCATGCCAGTGTATACAAGACTTTAGTGCTTCTTTTTATATTTTCTATAGTAGACCAGCATGCTAATCTCATTTGTTTTCAGAAGTTGCTTATAACGCAAATTACTTAAACTTGTTTGTTCAACTGTGTCTCAATGTATAACAAACACTGTTATTTTCTAGTCTTTCAGACTGCAGCATCAGTGAAGAAGGTTATAAAGCTCTGGCTTCAGCTCTGAGGTCAAACCCTTCACACCTGATAGAGCTGGATCTCAGAGGAAATGATCCTGGACAATCAGGAGTGAAGGAGCTCACAGAGTTACTGCAGGATCCACACTGTACACTGAAGACACTGAGGTGAGACATGATGAATAAATACAAAATAAATTATATGCAAGCAATTTACTAATTACTATATTGTTTCACTAATGTAGCCTGCTGAACACATGAAGAGTTTCTCACACATATCCATTAGACTCTGCTGCTGTTTATCATTACTCTTGCTTTAATTAAAACTTTGATGAATCCTGCTTGATCTTCTCTCCTGCAGGTTTTTGAATGGTGCTGCAGATGAAGCCTGTAAACATCTGAGTAAAGTTCTGGGTGGAAACCTGTTACTCCTGAAAGAGCTGAATCTGACTGAACATGATCACGGATACTTAGGATTAAAGAAACTTGCTGCTGTACTGAAAGATAAACACTGTAAACTCAACACACTGATGTAAGTTATTATATCACTTTAATGAATTTGCTTTTGGTGTGTGTTATGCTGAATAACATCTGACTTTAACTGTATTTGTGTTTTTTGAACACAGTCTGAAAAACAGCTTTATCTCAGAGGAAGATTGTCGTGTTCTGGCTGAAGCTTTTAATTCAAACCCATCAAATCTGAGAGAGCTGAATTTGAATGGGACTAAACTCACAAACTCAGGAATGAAGAGCTTCAACACTCTGTTTCAAAACCAACAGTGCAGACTGGAAAAGCTGAAGTAAGTTTTTCCCCCCAACCATTGTGTAAAACGAAGACCAACTACCCATAAATATAACTAAAATTGTTAAATTGTGTTTTTAGCTATATTACATAGCATTTTATGTCTCTTCTACAGGTTTAGCGGCATCAGTATCACAGCAGAAGGTTGTGCTGCTTTGACTTCAGCATTTAGCTCAAACCCGTCACACCTGATAGAGCTAAATCTGAGTGGGAATACACTAGAAGACTCAGGAGTAACAGAAATCTCCAGTCTACTGGCAAACTCACAGTGCATGCTGAAGATACTCAGGTAAGAGTTTGCCTAATTTGAATTTAATCCTTTGCCACCAACTACTCTTAATAACTAATATGTAAATAATGCAGTGCTTAATAGACCCTTTTCACATGATGACACATGGTGTCCGGTTTCACTCCATACTTCCGCCTACATAGAACTCCCCATAGAAAACTCACCCAGTCAGCTGTATATTTACTACAGATATGGTTAGATGATGACTATGACTGTTTTCTGTTGTCTGCATTCAAGGTGGGACATCTGACATTTAGAAAAAAATTCCAGATCATCTAGATTTCTGCTTGAATTAAGGAATGGGATTTAAACTGAGTCTATGGCTTTGTGTTGCTCTTTACTGCAGATGAAGTTGGTGCATACTTTTCAGCATTTCTCAAATAAAGATTTCAGATGTTTGCATGGGTGTTGAACAATTTTTATGTAAAATTTCGTATTATTTTTTTTATTGTAATAAAAAAACGTGGGTGTTTTACTGTGGTCTTTTACAGTGGACAGCTGATTTACAAATACATTCATATTATTCACATTCGACTGCTCAGTTAACTCATTTTGACCTATATAGGTATTTTATTAATGAACAAAACATTTATGTCTATTTAATATTCAAATTAAATTAAAATAGAATAACAATGTTGTATGTGACTCCTACTAACAAACAATCAAACAAAATCATTATAAAAATGTACAATTGCAAATATAACACCAAGAAGATGACATTTTAATTAAGTATTATTGATTTTTTTTAATCTATTTGTAGCCATATTAATTAAAAGGTAAGGCTAAAATTAAATTAAATCCACCCAGTAGGTGGCAGTAGGACACTGTTTTAATTAATAGTCTTAATTCATTCAAATGGAGAAGCTGAAAAAAAAACTAATGGATCAATAAATAATAAATGATAAAACTGGTTGCATTAATAGACATAACTACCAGGCAACATGCAAATATTTAATAGAGAATTATACTCATGCTGAACAATTTATATAGAGATCATATAAATTTATTTATAGCAGCATCAAAGTAAAAATTAATCTATTATTAAGGAAATAAACATAATTAATGAGTTAAAAGGTTGGGTACATACTTTCCTTGAAAAATAATTACTTATTCCTATTCTTAATAACTTAAAGTTTCATTTTCAAGCTCAGAAAGCAGTTCAGTATTAAAAGGAAAACATTTGAACACGTCCAATACTGTATGGTCTTAAATCAGATCGTGCAATGTCAATATTTTTATTTGTAAATTTTCCAGAGAAGTCTCCTAGTCATTCAAAAGTAAACTGGAACTAAAAATATACTGCGATGCCAATAGGGGAAGTTAAGTGATGTCATTGTGAAAAGGGTCTATTGCATTGATATTGATGTATTGATAATTAATATTTTAGAAAGCTTGTCATAAAAAATAAATTATTAACAAAGTATGAAAATGTATTTTGTTAAGCATATTATAGTATAGTAAGTCAAGAACACAGTATTTTATAGTTGTATTGATAAAATACTTACTAATGTCTATTAATGTAGAGTCAATGCTTGACAAATAATTAACCATTTGCATTGCTTAATAAATGATTCATAGTGTGCAGATATTATAAAGTGTTACAAATCTTTTTTTGAAATGAATAATTAATTACATTTGAAAATTGTTTGCTTTCCTTTAGTCTTTCAGACTGCAGTATCAGTGAAGAAGGTTATAAAGCTCTGGCTTCAGCTCTGAGATCAAACCCTTCACACCTGATAGAGCTGGATCTCAGAGGAAATGATCCTGGACAATCAGGAGTGAAGGAGCTCACTGCTTTGATTCCAGAGTGTGCTCTGAAAACATTGAGGTGAGAGACAATTAAATAATACAAAATGAGCCAGAAACTAAATGAATATTAGAAATATTATTTCATTGAATACAGTCTCTTAGATAAACTTAAGATAAACTATTCCACACTCTCTTCATCAGATACATTGTTGTTTTTTATTGTGGTTAGTAAAAAGCTTTCCTATGTTTACAGGTTTTTGGGTCCTGCAGCAGAAGAAGCCTGTCAGTTTGTGACTGGAATTGTGGGTAAAAACCCGTTACTCCTGAAAGAACTGAATCTGAGTGATCGTAAACTAGGAGACACACGAGTGAATCAACTCTCTGCTCTACTGCAGGATAAACACTGTAAACCCAACACACTTCAGTAAGTAATTGATATTTTAGAATATTAACTATTAGAACTATTATTTAGATTTTTACTTCTTGTGTTATGTGTGTGGCTAAGATAAACCGAAGAGTGTTACTCTCTTTGTTTTCTTTCTCTTCAGGCTGAATAATAACAGGATTACAGCAGAAGGTTGTGCTGCTTTAACTTCAGCATTTAATTTAAACCCTTCACACCTAATAGAGCTCAATCTGAGTGGGAATAAACTAAGAGACTCAGGAGTAGAGGAGATCTGTCCTCTGCTGAAAAATACACAGTGCAGACTGGAGAGACTAAGGTCTGTATTTACATTATTGCACATTTCTACGTGAAATAGATTTGAATTTGATTTTATAAAGTTATGAAAATGTGGTTTTAGTTTAACCTTTTCATCTCTGCTTCACTGTGATGAATATTCTGCTTACCATCTCCTGTTTTTGAAACTATTAGATAATTAATTAAACCTTTAGTGCTTGTATTTATATTTTCGATAGTAGATCAGCATGCTAATCTCATTCATTTTTAAAAGTTATTTATAAAGCAGGTTATTTAAACTAGTGTGATCAGTTGTGTCTCAAAGAATAACAAATATTGTTATTTTCTAGTCTTTCAGACTGCAGTATCAGTGAAGAAGGTTATAAAGCTCTGGCTTCAGCTCTGAGATCAAACCCTTCACACCTGATAGAGCTGGATCTCAGAGGAAATGATCCTGGACAATCAGGAGTAAAGGAGCTCACTGACTTACTGCAGGATGAGCGATATAGATTGAAGACCCTCAGGTGATGAAATCTAAACACATTTTAAATATTATTTCTACCATGTTGCAATACTTCATCTTTATTTAGTTGTGCACATGAAACTTCTCATCTGTAGGTAAAACGTACCATTTTGTGACCAAAAAGGTCAACTGCAAGACTTAAATCTGTAAAATGTGTAAAATAAATTGGTAATTGGAACTGAAATGAGGTACCGCAACCTTTACTGTGATTTGGTCTAGGTACATACCGTTTATGTTGATACCCAACCATACCACACAATTACATCAATAACTTCTGGTGCTTTTTATGAAAGAAATCGTCACTTAGATTTAAGGTGTTGTAATTCTACTTTACATTGTCATTTAGCAGACACTTTTGTCCAAAGCAACTTACAAATGAGGAGGAATTTTTAAGTGCTCAGGTGTGGAAGAGATGGCTTTTGGGTTGTCATTTGAATGATACTATTAAATCAGCAGTTACAGTGGAAATGAGAAGATTGTTTCACCAGTGAGGAACCTTGAATGAAAAGGTTTTGTAAGGTGACTTTGAGACTGATCTGATGGTGACACTCACTTATCAACCAGAGACTCCTGGAGGGGATGCAGACTTTCAGGAGCAGGTGGAGCTAAGAGTGTGCAGTACCAATGATTGTTCTGTAAGCTAGCATTAATGATTATGATTTAATAGGATTCTTGATTGGAGACCTGAAAGAGAGGTGTTGCATGGGTTGTCTTTGCCTCATTGAAAACCAGAGGAGCTGCAGTGTACTGGATCATTGCTGGAGGTTTCATGGTGTAAGATGAGACCTCAGCTGGAAAAGCATTGCAGTAGTTCAGCCTAGAAATGACAAGACATCAGACTAAAGGTTGTGCAGCATGATCTGTTAAAAAGGGTCTGATCTTTTTAATGTTAAAACCACAATCTTGCATGATTGAGCTGTGATAGTAGTGTAGTCTCTGAAGGACAGCTGATTATCTAAGAGTTGCAGGGAAGATGACAAGTTCCATTTTTGCCAGATTAAGCTGAAGCTTATGGTCTTTTATCCAAGCTGAGATATCCTCCAGGCACTGTGAGAATTTTTTGCAGCTACCGTTGGATACAATGATAAGACCATTTGATTGGATTATGGTTCCCAGTGATGTGGTGTAAATAGAAAATAGAACAGATCCCAGAGGTACCCCTGTGAGCAGGCAACCATGAAAGATCTACTGGTGAGGTAAGTCTCCAACCAGCAGAGAGTGGATCCAGTAATGCTCATTGAGGAGTGGGTAGACAGTAGAATCTGATGACTCGCTGCATCAAAAGCAACAGTTAGGGCCTGTATAAGCAGAATAGATTATTTAGAACCCGCTTTGAGCCCACTACTTCAAGTTTATGTGCCCTGGAGGAGTCAAGTAGGCTACTGAACATCAATTTATGGTTCCATCCTAAAGTGGCAGAAAATCTATCAGAAGTAATTTCCCCTTTAATTTTCCATTCTTGTGAAATGACTTTCCAATTATACCCCATTTTTTAGGGACTATAATTTTTGAACTGCACACCTTTTAGAAAATTGTGTTTAGCACGTAGAGAAGACACTCTTTCCTCTCCATATTTACCAGAATATTTCTTATAAATACTGAATTTCATTGTACAATTTTAAGTGTGTTTCACACATGTGAGTGGGCTTAACACTCTTGCCTCTCTATATGCACCAGACACTTTCCTTCAAGCACTCCTTTACAAGGACTTAAAAACATTTAAATACTGAACTGACTTAAACTTGTCATGGCGTCTTTATATTGCTGCTCAATGGTGATTTGAAGTGATATTAACTTCTTTTGTAAATTGCTTTGGACAAAAGGTATGCTAAATGAACAAATGTAAAAGAAGCCTACTTTGTCTCATGGTCGTGTTTCAAATAGCAAATTTGTTTGTGTGTTTGCTTAGTGTGAATAAGCAAAGTGCTGTGATTCATTTACCCCTTGAATGCATGGTGTTTTTTAAGAGGAGTGAATGGTTTAAGGGTATTTAACGCACAAAATGGAATTGTCTGTGGCTCTCTCCAAAGTCTGTCGTTGGCTCCGGCTGTTAGGACGTAAAACACTGTGAGCCAGACACCCTCAGCTTTGCACATTTAAACTCAATCTTACAGGTCCACCAGGTAAAGTAACTTAGGCCCCGTTTACACTAGTGCGTTTTAGTTTTAAAACGGCGTTTTAGAATGAAAACGATATGCGTCCACACTCGCGTTTTACCCAGCGTTTCTGAACAGCTCTCCATCCACACCAAAACGGTGAAAACGCACATCACGTGACCACACACACACTTTGGCAAGCGCTGCAGCCCATCTACCCAGATGAGAGCTCTGCTGGTCGGACTTCTCATCAAGCATCTCCCGCTGGATCTAATCTCACTATATTTATTAAACGTGATATTTCATTCATCTTGTTGTCTTTATCTAACGACATATTCCCTGACTTTGGTCATTGGAATCTATTACTTGTTCTCATTTAACGTGTTTTGGCTGAGCGCAAAGATAAGTTAATGATTAATGTAACCACGTACATTCTGTATATTGACTGATCGCTTGCCTTTATTTCCTATAATGTATAAACTTATTGTATGTTATAGCCTACTTTTATAATGGCCATTATCGATTATTAAAACTGATATTCAGCAAAAGAGAGGGTATGTTTTGTATTTTCACTGAAATTGAAAGGAGGCAGTTGTTATCGGCTCCGTTTTATTATAAATGTCCACACAGTGAAGATGACGCTCAGGCAGCACGACGCCTCAACATTTCTGCTGTCTGTTTAGTTGTTAATATTAAAATAAAAACAGGCAGTTCCTTATCAAGTTTACATTTTATTGTTGAGAAAGTGAAACAACGTAGCCAGGGTGATGTGAATGAAGTTATAAAGTACACTGTTCCCTGTGAAGATTGACGCATGTCCTCGGTATGTTTTCCATATCAAACTGAGAAGAGATGCAGCCTTGATCAAACTTGCGAAGTCTGAACTTACACGGAGAAGATTCAGGACTGAACTGTGTGTTAGGCTACTTAATATTGAGGAAAAGCCCCAATCAGAGAGGCGAATGTCTGCAGCCCCGCCTCCGTTTTCAGATGTCTCCGTCTTTCCCCATTCACACTGAGACGGAGCAGCAGCGTTTCAGAATGAAAACGGCCTCTCCAGCGTTTTCGAAACGCTCCGTTTTCGGCGCTCGAGAACTCCGGCGTAGTGTGGACGGATGGCGTAACCGTAGCAAAACTTATGCGTTTTCAAACTAAAACGCATTAGTGTAAACGGGGCCTTAGAGTTACACAATAGGAAGGTCTGAAATGCTGTTTTCTTCCACAGTGCAGCTTTCTCTCAAGTAAAGCTGGGTCTTTGTCTTGACAAAATTCCTTTTGTTTAGTCTCTGTGTAGAGTTACATGCCCTTTTGCTGAAACCTGTTGCAGAGACGTTTGTTTAGGGCATTCCTGTGGTCAGTCCACATGTATATTTCCATGTGTCATCTAAATAGGATATCTAATATAAATGATCTGTACTTCCTGTAGGCTTTTGAAAACTACTGCAGCACAAGAAGCGTGTGACTATCTTACTAAAGTTGTGGGTAAAAGTCCATTATTACTGACAGAACTGGATCTGAGTGAAGATAAATTAGGAGATCTGGATGGAGAGAAACTCTCTGCTCTTCTGATGGACTCTCATAGTAAAGTGGAGAAAATCAAGTGAGTGAAGTTTACATTATACTGACTGCAACTGTAAGCTCTGTTGATCTGATGTGTCAGGTATGTACTGAATAATAAAAATGCTGTTTTTGTGTTTAGGCTGAATAATTGTAAGCAGATTGAAAAAGGCTGTTCAGTACTAGCTGCCGTTCTCTCCTCAAAAACAATCCTAAAAGAGATGAACCTGAACAACAGTCGTCTGCTGGACTCAGGAGTCTTAGAGATCTGTGAGGGACTGAAGAACCCTGTGTGTGAGCTGAAGATTCTCAAGTCAGTACACTTTTTATTTGATTGATTGACTGACTGACTGATTGTGCAGTTAGTGTTGGGGATATGGTCATGTTTTGTGGAAAATTTTAAGTGCCCTACCATGCATGGACAGAGTTGGGAGAGCAGAAGCAAGTCAAACCCCAATGGGGTAACAGAACATAATTAACTTTTTTATTAGCAGGTTCTTGGGTTAAATGTCTCAAACGGGCATCAGATATAAGCAAGGAGTTTGAAATATTTGGGGTGGTGATGGGAGTATAGAATTGCACTGTTTATGATTTCCAAAGCCTCTGCTTTTGTAACACAAATGTTATATTATTAAAAAATATAATTAAGCGACAAGAATACTATTGTACTAATATATAACAAAAAATACTTTTGTTATTTCGTCTCTTCATTGTCAGTATATTGTGCACACTCATGAGTGCTGCACAGTGTCACAAACCCTGGATGCCTGCATGTGACTTCTGTTTGAAACTAAGGACATCTGAAGTAAAACATCTGCAGCGGTTTATAATGCATATAATTTATTGACAGGAGAAGAATCCATTTAAGTCATTATTTTTTATGTGCACACAAAAGTATTCTCATAGCTAAATATTTTTCTAATTGAATCACTGAAGACACATAGGTTGTTTTAATATTTTTCTGGACTTTAAATGAGTCGGGAACCTTGCTCTCTATAGGATGAAAAAGCTCTCAGATTTCATTTAAAATATTTAAATTTTCTTTCAGGGGTTTGGAAAAATATGAGAGTAACTAATTGATTACAGAATTTACAATTTTGGATTCACCAACACTTTAATGACACAGAATGATTACATTTTTTATCTGATATATATTTTTAAGGCTGGCAAGATTTCTTGTGGGAATAATTTTCCCACAATTGATGTTATCAGTCACGCATGTTTCAACATTGATCGTATTTTGTTAATATTTTCAGGCTCAGTAAGTGTGATTTAACAGAGGAAAGCTGTTCAGCTCTGGCTTCAGTTCTCAGATCAGACTCCAGCAGTCTGAAGGATCTTGACCTGAGCAATAATAATCTGCAGGATTCAGGAGTGAAGTTGCTCTCTGATGGACTAAAGCACAGTAAACTGAAGAGACTCAGGTGAGCTGATGTCTAACTCTTTTGTTTTTTGTTGGTTTACATAATCTTCAGCTTTTTATTGAAACAATTTATTTAGCTAAATAATTTGTAGTTACTATATGCCTGAATTTCACAAAGTTTGAAATGTTACTTTAAAAAGAAACATGTTGCCATTTTTTGACATAGTGGTTCAACCAGTGCCTACAGTAAATGACATTATTTGTCAAATAAAAGAGACATAAATATTTTGACTAGAGAAGTTCCCCAGTATCAAGATTTAAAGCCAGTGTATTTGAATACACCTGATGAATTGGTATTTGAAGATTATGACTTCATATAAAACTTTATTCACATCATGTTTAGGATTATTTTATGCATTCATACTTTTCCTTTGCTTAACAATAGTCATCTATCTTTCTACTGAATCATGTGTAAGCAGTATATTTAACAAACTGTTTTTGTATTATTTTGTATTTTGTAATGAAAATTGGAGAAAACAAGGATTACTTTGTTATATGAGACTAAATGATTTAATTTCTCAGCTTTATTTAACAACTTAAATTTTTGGTAATTTGAGAAAAATTAATCATTTAAATGTCTTTTTTAAATCCCTGTTCTAGTCTTTCAGACTGCAGTATCAGTGAAGAAGGTTATAAAGCTCTGGCTTCAGCTCTGAGATCAAACCCTTCACACCTGATAGAGCTGGATCTCAGAGGAAATGATCCTGGACAATCAGGAGTGAAGGAGCTCACTGACTTACTGCAGGATCCACACTGTACACTAAAGACACTGAGGTGAGATGGGCTAAATAATGTAACAAATAAAATGCAGGCTGTTTGTTAGCAGTACTGTAATTAACAGTAGTTAACAGAACTCTGTTGAATGCGTTTCTTATGTTTCTTCTCATTGCTTATATCGATTTTTGCAAGAGTATCTGAATATCTAAGTAAAGTCTTATAAAATTAATGTCATTAAACCATCCAGACACTACAATATTTAATGTAAAGTATTTTGTTGCGTATTGAATTTTGTTCTCATTAATCTTCTGTGTCTCCAGTTGTTTTAGTCCTGCTGCTGATGAAGGCTGTCAGTTTGTTACTGGAATTGTGGGTAAAAACCCGTTACTACTGAAAGAACTGAATCTGAGTGATCGTGAGCTAGGAGACACACGGGTGAATCAACTCTCTGCTCTACTGCAAGATAAACACTGTACACTCAATATACTCACGTGAGTGTCTTACAGAGTTACAAAATCTATATAAAAACACATTTTTATAGATCCAGTCACAGGAGATTTTGAAGCCATCATATAGAGGTGTTCAAGATTGAGCCTTGTCTTTTTTTTCAGTAAAAATACATTGACATTTTCAGGTTGCTCATTAGTACTGAGTCTGATGGTTAGTTTAGTTGTTGCTCACAGACAGTGATGCTGATACATTGACTGGCTTAAATAATTGCAAAAGTACAGGCATACATGAGATGTGGTGCTACATGAAAGACAATTTTAGATTTTATTCAATTTTTTTCCTGAATACTTTAGGCTAAATGTAAATCATTCCAGTTGTGTGTTTTTTATCATTGTTGGTGGTGTTTTTGTTCAGTTATGTTTATTGCTTTTAATTTAATTTATTTTTTTACTTACAGCATATTAGGCTAGGTTTATTGTGGTGTTACATGTGTCTTAAGTAAAGGTATACTGTCTGATATTGTACATGTGTCAATATGAATAAACTGAAGAGTGTGTCCTCTCTTTGCCTTCTTTCTCTTCAGGCTGAATAATAACAGGATTACAGCAGAAGGTTGTGCTGCTTTGACTTCAGCATTTAATTTAAACCCTTCACACCTGATAGAGCTCAATCTGAGTGGAAATAAACTAGGAGACTCAGGAGTAGAGAAGATCTGTCCTCTGCTGAAAAATACCCAGTGCAGATTGGAGAAATTAAAGTGCGTATTTTCCCTTATTCTACTGTACCTGTCAGCATGATTATATGCCTTTGTTAACCAAAAAAACATGATGCTATAGATAATGTCATTTTATTTTTCAGAAGAGCTTTTAGAAGTATTTCAATGATAGTGAAAGTGTTGTGCACTAATTAATGTCTTTATATGCATATAGTCTTTCAGACTGCAGCATCACTGGAAAAGGTTATGAAACATTGATTTCAGCTTTGAAGTCAAACTCACACCTGATAGAGCTGGATCTCAGAGGAAATGATCCTGGGAAATCAGGAGTGCAGAAGCTCACTGATTTGCTACGAGCTGGAAGCTGTAAATTAAAAACCATCAGGTGATGAAAGCTATTTAGTATTTTAAAATAAGGTATGTAAATGGAGTTTGTGGTGTGCAACTAGATGTAGGAGACACATTGGCCTTTGCAGAATTAAAATAACATGAAGGTGAATTTACTGAATTAAAATGCAGCATAATTAGAAATAGTTACCAATATTATGAATTTAACACTGTTACATGTATTAATAATAAGGATGGGAGCAACAAGTGGCAATTTATTTTTATAATTAGCTAAGATAATTTTTTTGGTTTCCTATAGGACTTTGAAAGGTTCCGCTGCACAGGAAGCGTGTGACTATCTAACTAAAGCTGTGGGTAAAAGTCCATTATTACTGACAGAACTGGATCTGAGTGAAGATAAATTAGGAGATCTGGATGGAGAGAAACTCTCTGCTCTTCTGATGGACTCTCATAGCAAAGTGGAGAAAATCAGGTAAGTGTACACGATTGATACATTAAAATCCTCTGTTTGATCTTGTGTGTGCAGAATATATAAAGAGCCGTCAGTCTGATGTTTGCTGAATATGTGCTGAATAATGAAATCGTTTTTTTTATTTAGGATGAATAACTGTAAAAAGCTGACAGAGAAAAGCTGTTTAGTTCTAGCTGCTGTTCTTTCATCCAAAACCATCTTGAAAGAGATGAACCTAAACAACAGTCGTCTGCTGGACTCAGGAGTCAAAGTGATCTGTGAGGGACTGAAGAACTCTAAGCTGGAGATTTTAAAGTGAGTGCACTTCACCAGCAGATATACTTAACACAAAAGAATTTAAATAATTACAATGTTATCTCTAAATAAAAATTTAGTTTCAGTAACTTTGATTGTGACAGTAAAAGCAACACAAGCGAGTTATATTCTAATACAGAATTGTTTTTCATTAGTTGTCATCAAAATTAAAAGTAATAAACACTTGAAATATATCCGTTTGTGTGGAATAAATGTATACATATTGCTAGTTTCTCTTCTTGAATGGAATTAGTGAAATCAACTTTTTCAACATATTCTAATTATATGACCAGCATCTGAATGCATGTATGACATTATCCCATCATAAAATATGGTAATCTTTAAACTCTAAACTGCATGATTGTAATCTCAAAACATAAGTACTTCACACTGACAAATCTGTGAGTGTATTGTGATGTTTAAAAAAAAACAACCACAACCAATGATCCACTGCAGTAAATTAAAGGGCACCTATGGTGAAAAATCTACTTTTCAAGCTATTTGGACAAACATATGTGTATATATAGTGTATAGACCATCATATTGGGGTGATACAAACACACCCAGTCCTTTTTTTTCAATTTAACAACATAAAAACGGTGGACCAATTGGAGCGGTTTTCAGACCAACCGCAACTTTACGTAGGAGTGCGGTCCCCCCGCCCACTGAATTGATTGACGGCTGCGCGCATTAACATGTTCCAGTAGTCACGTCTATATGTCAACAAGACCAGGCAGACATACGCAAAGCAACCGGGAATAAAAGGTCTGTTCTGTTCGGTAGGATCAGCAATCATCATCAAATGTGATTAAGAATAAGTTTCACATGTTTAAAGTGTTTTAAAACAGTGCAAGTGTGTAATTAATTACAGCGATTTACTTCAGCTTTACTTCATCAGCACAGCCGCGTGTCAGAACATTTATAAAAGAAGACGGTTCAATCCTGGTTTGTGGAAGTTAAATCAGGTTTATTTTGTACATTAACATCACAGATATCCACACAGTACTGAAGGTTAGCCTGTATCCTGTCACATTTGAGGGCAAAAACAGTGCTAAGCGCGCTCTGTCTGTCTGTCTGTCTGCCTGCCTGTGTGTGTGTTTGTGTGTGTATCAGCTGCGGTGTGCTTGTGCATCTGTGTGTGTGTGTGCGTGCGTGCGTGCGTGCGTGCGTGCGTGCGCGAACTTTGTAACGATATTGTGTTTGACTCATCAATGCAACTTCACAATACTGATTAGTAAAGATTAGTTCTTACTGTAGTATTTCTCACAAACGCTACGTGAGACCTTCTTCCTTTAAGTCTGTCTGTTGTCTGACGCAGCCGAGGGAGGAGATTAAAGCACGCGGGAAGGCATGTAGAAACAGTAGGCGGGAAAGACTCGTCTTAAAGGCGCAGTACGACAAAACCACCCCCTGCTGGAAATGTGTATAAAACAGCATCTTGTATAAGGTATAATGAAAAATCTGATGGGTGTTTTGAGCTGAAACTTTACATACACATTCTAGAGACGCAAAAGACTTATATCAAATTTAAATAAAAGGGGTAACCTAGGTGCCCTTTAAATAATCTGAAATGATTTAAAGTTATTACAAAAACAACTATAGCTCTGTCACCACAAGCTGTTTTCAGCACCAAAACCTATCAGCAATTACAAACTGAAATATGGGCTTGCCCAAAACACAATCATCACGAGGCATCCATTCATGAAATAAGATGCCATTATTCACAATATAACCTGAAGCATCACATTCAATTTCTTCATTAGACTTCACAGACATAAACATGGGCCTCATTCACTAACTATTCTTACAAAAAAGTCTGTTCTTAAACCCCAGTTATGCAGTTTTCACAACCTTTGTTTGAGATCACAAAGGTTCGTTTACTGCGCACCCACACTAAGCAGCTAAGGGCCGTGGTCAGAGGCGCTGTAACGTTATGGCAGATATAAAGCTAAAAATTCGTCCAAACATGGCTGTTTCCACAGAGCTTCGTCTGTTTCTGTATTTGGGTTTCCAAGGGACACGACACAAAGACAGAAGTGCTTACAGTTCAATATTAATTATGTTCCAGAGAATTATAAAATACATAGCAAGCATAATTTGACAAAACAGCTCCAGAATCTCTCCCAGTTCAGTGCTGGATTCGGTTAAAATCTCCTCAAAGCAGAAGCTGTGAACTACAACCTGTAAGTGTTTTTATTTGTTAACATTGATCATGACACATACAGTGTCTAGCGTTAACGGTTTGCTGTAGCAACAATGTAAACAATGCAAAATGCTGCTTTGTGGGCAAACGATTTAGCTACAAATTCATATTATCAGTTAAACTGCTGTAAACACACACAAACACACACCAGCACGTTTGTTTCTCTATGTGTGTGTGCGGTTATGAATAGATTCTCTATAGACAGCTTTTCCATACGTTTCACATCTCAGATAATGAAGTAGCAAAATATATGTGGATGATTCATGTTACTTACACCTGCATATTCCGGATATATGTGAAAGATGTCGTGTGACGCATCGAGTTAAAAACAAACAAACAGGAGAGCTCACCTGACTCGTGGTAGCAGCAGAAAAATAAATCAAGGCTCACACAGGTAGCATCCCACATCTGGTGCTTTATTTTTATGTCACGATATATTACTGAAAAAAAAACTTAATCTGTTTTAATAGTATAGGTTTTTAGGATGTGTAAAAAGAATTGGTTTTGTATTATCTAGTGTGGTCTAGTTTCTAGTTGTATGTTGTGGCATCAGCTTATGTGCAGCAATACATTTAATTAATAACTTATTAAATGATTTTTAAGCTAATTTGTATTTTGTTTTGCAGACTTTCAAATTGTAGTATTACAGAAGAAGGTTATAAAGCTCTGGCTTCAGCTCTGAGATCAAACCCTTCACACCTGATAGAGCTGGATCTCAGAGGAAATGATCCTGGACAATCTGGAGTAAAGGAGCTCACTGAGTTACTGCAGAGTTCGTGGATTCCATGGAAAAAAGTGAAGTGTTCAATGAGGTGAGTTACATTAAAAATAATAAAATCCAAATAAACATTTATAAAAGCTTTAAAATAATTAAGGGATTAAATGGGCAATTATTTTTTATGTAATGTGTATTATAACATTGTTCTTTTGTCCCCAGGTTTTTGAGTCCTGCTGCTGATGAATTTTGTCAGTTTGTGTCTGGAATTGTGGGTAAAAACCCGTTACTCCTGAAAGAACTGAATCTGAGTGATCATGTACTAGCAGACACACAAGTGAATCAACTCTCTGCTCTACTGCAGGATAAACACTGCAAACTCAACACACTCATGTGAGTATTCTGTATATTATGTTTTATAATTTTAGATTAATCTTAAATCGGGTAAAAAATAACTATATTTCTTAGTGATTTTTTTTAAGGATCTGTCGATTAACTATTTTATATTTCTAAACTCTCCCTAAATTAATATGCATGTTTATTTATTTACTTATGTTACAATTTTAAATCTTTTTGCTCTAGTCTTTGCTCTAGAAAACAATGATTACTTTGTTATATGAAACTAAATGATTTAATTTCTCAGCTTCATTTAACAACTTATATTTTTGGTCATTTGAGAAAAATTCATCATTTAAATGTCTTTTTTAAATTCCTGTTCTAGTCTTTCAGACTGCAGTATCAGTGGAGAAGGTTATAAAGCTCTGGCTTCAGCTCTGAGATCAAACCCTTCACACCTGATAGAGCTGGATCTCAGAGGAAATGATCCTGGACAATCAGGAGTGAAAGAGCTCACTGAGTTACTGCAGGATCCACACTGTACACTGAAGACACTGAGGTGAGACTGAATGAATTAATACAAAATAAATGATGTGCAGGCAATTTATTGATTAATATATTGTTTCACTAATGTAGTCTGCTGCACACATGAAGCATTTCACACATGTACTGTATCCATTAGACTTTGCTTTTTATCATTATTCTCTTAGTACTTAAGACTTTTATAAATCCTGCTTTATCGTCTCTCCTGCAGGTTTTTGAGTGATGATGCAGATGAAGCCTGTGAACATTTGTATAAAGTTCTGGGTGGAAACCTGTTACTCCTGAGAGAGCTGAATCTGACTAAACATGATCTTGGACCATCAGGATTAGAGAAACTTGCTGCAGTACTGAAAGATAAACACTGTAAACTCAACACACTGATGTAAGTTATAATAACCCTTTCAGTGAATTTGCTGCTGGTGTGTGTTATTCTGAGTAACATCTGACTTTAACTGTAATTGTGTTTCTTTGAACACAGTCTGAATAACAGCACTATCTCAGAGGAAGATTTTCATGTTCTGACTGAAGCTTTTAATTCAAACCCAACAAATCTGACAGAGCTGAACTTGAGTGGGACTAAACTCACAAACTCAGGAATGAAGAGCTTCACAACTCTGTTTCAAAACCAACAGTGTAGATTGGAAAAGCTGAAGTAAGTGTTTATTCAGCCAGTGTGTAAAACAAAGGCCAACTACTTACTGTAGTAAATAAAATGTATATTATGTAATTTTCATATTGGATGTTTAAAAATGCACAAAATTGTTTAACAGATATGTTTTATAGCTTATGTCTCTCTTCTACAGGTTCAGCAGCATGTGTATTACAGCAGAAGGTTGTGCTGCTTTGACTTCAGCATTTAACTCAAACCCTTCACACCTGAAAGAGCTCAATCTGAGTGGGAATAAACTAGGAGACTCAGGAGTAAGAAAAATCTCCAGTCTACTGAGAAACTCGCAGTGCATGCTGAAGATACTCGGGTAAGGTTTCTTAATCTAAATATGAAAATGCATTATTTATTATTATTATTGTTTTTTATCATTATTAAAAATGTGATGCTATCTTTTTTTTGGAAAATTAAAATGATTTTTTATGGAATATGTTTGTTTTTCATAATGGCTTTATAATTGTATTTTTTTTTTACATTTGGATCTTGTTCATTCTGAATAATTGTTTAATAAAGATTAATTATTTTTAAGATGACCATACTGTCATACAGAGTCCGATTATTATACAAAGACATATAGAAACTTAAAATGTAAAGTAAAGAAGTAATAGGGGAAAATAAGCTAAGAATCAGAATCAAATTAAAAGTCCCTAAAGATTGTCACCCCTAGTGAGCAGTGTTTATTATTAATATGTGGAAGTGTACCATAGAGAACAACATCAGTGGAAAAAAACACAATCAGTCTAAATGTGCGCAAAGCATGATGGGATGTTTAGTCCGGGTGAATGGCTGGAAGGGTATAGAGTGCCCTCTAGTGTGTCTGATGGGCAACATAGCTGGTGACCATGACAGTAGAGTATTCTTTGTTTCTTTATTTGTTTCATTTTGTATTCTAGTCTTTCAGACTGCAGTATCAGTGAAGAAGGTTATAAAGCTCTGGCTTCAGCTCTGAGATCAAACCCTTTACATCTGATAGAGCTGGATCTCAGAGGAAATGATCCTGGACCATCAGGAGTGAAGGAGCTCACTGGCTTACTACTCGATCCACACTGTACACTGACGACACTGAGGTGAAACATGAGAAAATATTTCATAAATAAATGATGCATATTGATTATTAAGAGAAATACTGTTAATAAGCAATACACAATTATAGGCTGGTAAATTATTAATTTTTATTTTGCTATTAAAAAATATATATTATTTTACATAACTCAAATGATCTCTTCTGTTACATGAACTTTAAAGAAATTAACTAACTCTTGAATCGTTTTCTCCTCTTCAGGTTTTTGAGTCCTGCTGCTGATGAATTCTGTCAGTTTGTGTCTGGAATTGTGGGTAAATACCCATTACTCCTGAAAGAACTGAATCTGAGTGATCGTGGACTAGGGGACACACGAGTGAATCAACTCTCTGCTCTACTGCAGGATAAACACTTTAGACTCAACACACTCATGTGAGTATTGCACATTGTTTTCAAAAGTATAAAAATAATGTATATTATTGTAATGAAACATTTTTTTAATAAAATCACTAAATTGGTGCCATCTTGTGACTGAATATTGTATGATGCAATTGTTGACATTTTTCTTCCTTCAAGCTTTGTCTATTTAAAGACTTGATCAATTAATACAGCACATATTATTGTTTTATGTTCAATTTATTTTATTTATTTTTTGCTTGTAGAATAAAGCACTTAAGTCTTATTTAAAAGCTGCTGAACAGCCCATCTGGCTTTATTCTCAGATAACATCTACCTGGATGTACATTATTACCCTTAGACTAATGAAAAACTATTATAAAGATGCAACTATAATTCATTTTGTATACTTGTGTGTTATATCTGAAAATGTTTCCTCTCTTTGTTTTCTTTCTCTCCAGGCTGAATAATAACAGGATTACAGCAGAAGGTTGTGCTGCTTTAACTTCAGCATTTAATTTAAATCCTTCACACCTGATAGAGCTCAATCTGAGTGGGAATAAACTAGAAGACTCAGGAGTAGAGAAGATCTGTCCTCTGCTGGAAAATATACAATGCCGATTAGAGAAACTGAGGTGTGTATTTTTATTTTGTACATTTTCACATTAGTATAGTGAACAAAATTCTTAAAATGACTCTTTAATTATGTTGCCTGAAAATAAATATACATTTTTAAATAATATGATGGTTAATAAATAATGATGGGATTTATGTTTTGAATGTACTGATCATTCAACATGTTAGGTTAATAATGTATTTTCCCTAAATATGGCATTGTTTTCATGCATATATATTGTGTGGCTAAATATTGCCTAAACTGATTTATAAAAAGCATATTGACCTTTATTTTTGCAAAGCTTTATTTGTGTGGTTATTTTGTTTATTTAATATGCAACATGCAGAACTAAACCGCTTATTTCATATACAGTCTTTCAGACTGCAGTATCAGGGAAGAAGGTTATAAAGCTCTGGCTTCAGCTCTGAGATCAAACCCTTCACACCTGATAGAGCTGGATCTCAGAGGAAATGATCCTGGACAATCAGGAGTGAAGGAGCTCACTGATTTACTGCAGAGTAGAAGCTGTAAATTCAGGTAATTTACAAACTTAAAAAAAGCACTTGGAACAAAATGTTTGATGCTCTGGCAGATCTGTTTACTATTAAACACAATTGTTACAGTAATTTAATCCATAAGCAATATGTTCCATAAAGCTGGTTTGTACAGATCAAAAGTGTGTGTGTGTGTGTGTGTGTGTGTGTGTGTGTGTGTGTGTGTGTGTGTGTGTGCGTGCGTGCGTGCGTGCGTGCGTGCGTGCGTGCGTGCGTGCGTGCGTGCGTGCGTGCGCATGTGTGTGCGTGTGTGTGTGTGTATGTGTGTGTTTGCGTGTGTGCGCGCGTGTGTGCATTAGCGTGTGTGTGTGTGTGTGTGTGTGTGTGTGTGTGTGTGTGTGTGTGTGGTTCTAGAAGACAGAAATTAACACAGATACTTACATTTTGTGTGTCTGCATTTGTATATTGCACTTGTTTGAATGGTTGTTAAAGAATGTCCAGGGTAAATCCTTAAAAAGGCTGTTACAACAACATTTTTCAGCCTTTTAAAATGATAGTTTGAGGTTTAAATGTAAAATCTAAAAAGAATGTTAAAATTGGTTCACCGGGGACAAAGACATGCATCTCACATACCTGTATAACCATAACCAAACATAAACTATACATTGGGAAAATGCTCTGCTTTCTGAGATTAGTCTGTAATGAAGATTAGAGAAGCAAAAGACATATTGTAAAATGACTAAATTCACAATTCTCACCCGCTTCTGGCAGGTTTCTGAAGAGTTCTGCTGCACAGGAAGCATGCGAGTATCTTACTAATGTTCTGGGTATAAGTCCATTATTACTGACAGAACTGGATCTGAGTGAAGTTAAATTAGGAGATCTGGACTGGGAGAAACTCTCTGCTCTTCTGATGGACTCTCATAGCAAAGTGGAGAAAATCAAGTGAGTGAACATAAATTTATGCATAATAACTTTCCTGATTGTTATTTTTAAAGCCTGTCAGTTATTTGTACTCTATAAACATTCATACTGTTGAACTGATATGTTGAATGCTGAATATTAAATAATGCTGTGTCTGTGTTTAGGCTAAATAATTGTGAGCTGACAGAGAAAAGCTGTTCAGTTCTAGCTGCTGTTCTCTCCTCCAAAACCATCCTGAAAGAGCTGAACCTGAACAACAGTCGTCTGCTGGACTCAGGAGTCAGAAAGATCTGTGAGGGACTGAAGAATCCTGTGTGTGAGCTGAAGATACTCAAGTCAGTACATTTCAATAGCAGATACACTGATTGCAACAGCAATAACAGGAATAATATTTATTGTATGTGTTCAGCTTTAAAAGAACATTTAGATAGTGGCTATTTCACCTAATTGGAAATAGCGATAGCTGATATGACAACATCAATTATTTCATAGCTATCTACACTACTTGCAGTTTACATTTCATTATACACAAGCACTTTTGAATCAAATCCAGGTTTTACTGATGTCACAGTTAGTTTAGAAATCAAACTCTGGTTTGCACTAGGCAGTCTAAGTATGAAAAAAATCATTAAAGGTGTAGTGGTACATTTTAATTTACAACAGCTTATTCTACTGCTCACCGATACCTTTTATAGACCACTGTAGCTCACAAAAATTTCTTCTGAGACGGTAGAGAGTAGTCGCTTGAACAAAGGAAGGTTTTTGACAAATGTAACCTGAGAAATTAATTCTGTCATTGTCTGATTTCATCTGCGTGGATCATGTTTAGCTTTTTTGCCACTACATATCAGTTAATTCTCTTTAGGGTATTAGTACACTAAAGCAGGCTGTCAGGGTACTGTAGTTGTCATGTTTTAGATTTGTAGAATAGGCTGGCATGCAGTTGCAAAGCTACTTAAAAGTCAGTAAAATGTCATTTGTAGGGCCGAAGTGTTGGCAAATAATAAGCACATAGTCTACTTGGAGTCTATTGATAATGAAAGTTGGTATAGTTGCACACCTAGTAGAATGTCTGACACTGTGTCCTAACAACATGCGACATGACAAGATTCCAGTAACAATCTAAGATCTGCTGCTGCTTTCAGTATGGCAATAAATGTCTTGTAAAATGGTATTTAAACTTATATTAGTAGCGGTTAAACACTAAATAAAGCACATAATCAGCACCTGAGGTGATCTTTGTCAAAGTAGTTTATGATTTATTTGGTCGCAGTGTTGCAGAAACTTTGCATATCACTGTTGCAGCATCACATCATGTGTTGTTAGGACATGTTGTTATGTGGTCCACTTAAATAGTGAACATACAGCTGCATCTCAGTAAATTAAAATATCACTGAAAATTTATTTCAGTAATAAAATTTAAAAAGTGAAACTCATATCAGTCTGTGTGTAACAAATCTACATAATATATATTGTGTTTCTTTTAATTTGAATGATTATTGCCTACAGCTAATAATAACCCAAAATTTAGCATCTCAGACAATTAGATAATCACTGAAGACCAACACAGAAATGATGGACTACTGAATGTATGAACATGTACAGGACACAACACTTGGTCAGAGCTCTTCTGTGTTGTTGGGTCTGTTGTCTCACGTCTAACTCTTGACAACACCACATATAATCTCTGAGGTTTAGACCAGGCCCAAGTAAATACAGGCATACCATGATGCTTAAACCAGGTGTTAGTACTTTTGGCAGTTGTGGGCAGGTGCCAAGTTCTGATGGACAATCAAATCAACATCTCCATTAAGCTGAATGTGAACTTTTCAATGAAATTATAATTTATTAAGATGCACCTGTTTATAGCAATAGATGTCAGTAGTTTCCAGCCATGTTCACAAAGGCCCCTCAGCACTGCACATTTTGCATGTCTCCTTAATCATGTTTGTGTTTGTGTTTGTGTTTGTACAGAAGTCTCAACTCTGATGTTCATTTTAATATGAGTATTTATGATTGTTAGTCTTTCAGACTGCAGTATTACAGAAGAAGGTTATGAAGCTCTGGCTTCAGCTCTGAGATCAAACCCTTCACACCTGATAGAGCTGGATCTCAGAGGAAATGATCCTGGACAATCAGGAGTGAAGGAGCTCACTGAGTTACTGCAGGATCCACACTGTGCACTGAAGACACTGAGGTGAGACATGAGGAAATACAAAATGGATGACCTGTAGACTACTGTAATTATTCCTACATAATATCAATTCAGTTATACAATTTTTTGCATCTTGGTGTACTGTGGTGTTTGTAACAGATCATTACCATGAAATTAAAAGGTTTTATGTGTATTATGAGCAGTTTTGAGATGTTAAGCTCTAAAGATTTGCATACCATATGAATAAATCACAAAATGATATGGTTAGCAAGCTTCTTTAACACATGAAGATTGCTAGAAAAACAACAAAGACATTTTTGCAGTATTTCTGAAAATACCTTCTATTCTAGAGAAAGTCTTATTTGTTTTATTTTGGATAGAATGAAGCAGTTAAAAAATAGCATGTAGATCTCGGTTTTATCCTCGGGTGCTGCCGTTAATCTGCAGGGCTGGTAATCAAAAACGGGCTGCATGATATTTAATGGTTGGTCAAGGGTGGATAAAATAAATTATTGGTTATGCAAATAAAAAAATTATTCTAAAATATTAAGGTGTTTTAAGCTATTTTATCTTGATGGACTGACACAAATATGCAGACTCTTGTGTTAAAAATTGTGCATCACAAGAATGTAAAGCCTGTCTTGCTTATTCAAATTAATTGACTAAAGAATTAAATTGTAACTGACCAGCAATGGGTGATTTTGTCATTAACAGTGAAAACAATTTAATAAAGGCTACTCTAAAACTGAATATTTTACTTTAAAAAAAATTATATTATCAATTTTTTAACAAACCAGTTTGTTTTTTATAGCATAAGCTATAGCAGACTTGTTTTAAAGCACTTAACCCCAAATGTAATTCATTCTTCTTGTTTATCTTGTGTAAGACTGACCAACAGAAAATACATTAAAACTAAGATACAAATTATACCAAACGAAATTTGTTTCAAAAATATATTTTTTCCAAAAAAAATATATTAAGTTTAAATGTTCAAAAATAGCTAAGGATTTAACCAATGCTCGACTGTAATTCATTATTCATTATTGTAAGTCATTATTTTAAAGATTTTTCCTCAGTGCTGATGTGCTTTCATTTTCTCCATCACTCTCACAGTGAGTTCAGGCAAGGTATGGTTTAAGAAGTAAATTGTCCACAATTAGTTTGCCTGCATCAAACTGGAAGGAAAATTTACATTTTAACAACATTTAATACAAAGGCTTTTTTTTTTTACCGGTGAAGTAGGACAACAGTGGTATCACTGGTAGTGGTATTAATTATTTAATATTTCAAAGAAAATATACTTTTTACAAAGAAAACAACAACAACAGATCCTATCAATGTTGAATGCCCTTAAACAATGTAGCCTAGTTGACAGCAAGCATCAAGTGTTTATTGAGATTGTGTGGTTTTTCATATACAGTATATAGGTCTGTTCTTTATAAATCTTTAAGAGACACCATGCGGAGACCAAAGTGATGTTCCTCTTTAAGTTAAAATGTTGGCACTTTTAGTTAGCCTGTAGCCTACTAAAAAATTGTTAAGATTTTTTACATATATTGTTCAAATTTCTTAAATTTTTTTTATATTTATAGTTTATATATAAAACAAAACGCTTGCTTGTTTCGCTGCGATCATTATGAAAGGATCATCTTGCATATTCGGTTTATTCTTCAATAGCCTAGATTGTAAATTATGTATTTTATAAAGGGATTGTTTATAAGGACTAAGCTATTAATAACTGTAATTCTCTGAATGGAAAAGGCTTGAGTGGTTTGTTATAATATATCAAATCATTTAAAACCTCATGATGGTTTGGTGATTAATATTTGAATCTGTCATTAAATTATTTGATCATCGATCACAGGATTTTGTGGAAATTGACTTCCTTAATATATATTAGTTTATATAAGTAAAATTGTTTATTGTCATTGTTAATTGGTAAAGTTGTTAATTGTTAAAAGCATGTCTTATCAATTTTTTTTAAGGAAATGAACAATAAATTCTGAATTGTTCTTCTAACTTGCAGATTTTTAAGAAGTCCTGCTGCTGATGAAGGCTGTCAGTTAGTAACTGGAGTTGTGGGTAAAAACCCGTTACTCCTGAAGGAACTGAATCTGAGTGATCATGAGCTAGGAGACACACGAGTGAATCAACTCTCTGCTCTACTGCAGGATAAACACTGCCAGATCAACACACTCAAGTGAGTTTTGCACAGTTTATTATGAAGGAGGACAATGTTTTACAGGTGGTCAGTCAATATTTGGTCCAAATTAACATGGTAAATTGGCAGGAGTAATTGCAATATACAGGTGCCAACAGATGTCTTTTAGTAATATTTCTCAGTGCATAGCAGAATCATGTAATCCTGTTACTGTTTCTTTTTTTTAAGCCTGTGTGTGGCGAGGGGGGCGTGGCCGAGAGCCGTGGGAATGGGGTGAGGCCACCGCGTGAGTGGATACACGTGCGGTGCGCACCTGCCATCGGTCCTCCTTTTATGGTCCAGAGCTCCTTCCGTGGGATCCGAGGCAGGTGCGCACCGCACGTGTATCCACTCACGCGGTGGCCTCACCCCGTTCCCACGGCTCTCGGCCACGCCCCCCTCGCCACACTGTGTTTGTAAACCATTTGTGCACAATCGATTATAGTGATGGTACCTTAAAGATTATTTATAATTATATACACAATCACTATACAGTGCTATTTTACGTTGATCATAGAGTTCCTGTGTCTGAATACTGCTTCACTGCCCAGAAATCTAAAAAGTGCTACGTGTTTCATTTCTATCTTTGTTCTATTGTATTTAAGTATGCTTGTTGTGTGTTTGTTATATTGTATAAAGATAGGCTCCCCTACAGAATCACAATGAATGTAAAATGATTAATTATTTTCAAATAGAGCTATTCAAGTCATCTGGTGAAATTGTAGTCATATCTTAATACACATTTCAGAAAAACAAAATATTGCAATGTATTTTTCCAGTATTGTGCAGCCTACAGTAGTCAATGCATTAGCTGACATAAATTAACAATAAGCATCACATATTATAACAGCATTTATTGATGTTTGTTAAAGGGATTGTTCACCAAAAAAAGGAAAAGTGTTCATTTACTCACCCTCAAGCCTCCCAAATTGTAGATGCCATTTTTCTAGATGATTTTTTACAGAAACTTTTGTCTTTGGTGATTATACTTCACTAGCTACCAATACTTTTATGCACCAGAAATTTCTAAAACCTTAGATATTAGATTTCTAGATTTCTTTTAGATTTCTAAAACCTTAGTTAGACATTTAGACATTCAGTTTGAGTCATTGTCTTTTCTCTTTCTGTCTTCAGTCTGAGTTATTGCAGTATTACAGAGAAACAGTGTGAGATCCTGACTTCAGCTCTGAAATCAAACCCATCACACCTGAGAGAACTGGACCTCAGTGGGAATGAACTAGGAGACTTTCAAAGCCTTGGCTCTCTACTGAAGAACCAACAATTCAAGCTGGAGAAACTAATGTTAGTATTATTATACTGTACAGCAGATACTGTGAGATTGATATGTCAACAATTATGTATTAACATTTATACATAAATGGTAGTCATACCTGTCATTACATAAGGGCCAATTAACATAATTCGGTAGCACTCAGTGTTATTGCATTTTTCAAAAAAAATCAACATTTTTTAATACTGATTCACACAAGATGATAAACAGGTATAATTAATAAAAATTAGAATGAAAATGTATTGGCATTTCTGTCAAGAACTTAAAATGAAATTCAATGTTCAAACTCAAGAAAGAGGGACACTTTGGAAAAAGTGAGTTTTGGTGTGCACATCTGAACTGTAATGTACTGATCTCCCTTTGGAATGGAAGCTATAATTAGCTGTGTGCCTCATTAAACTTACAAAAATGTCAGTTTGTGGTAGATAAACCTGACTTAGGCTCTTTAAAATGTGCCTCTCAGTAAACTCAAATGACCGCTAAAAGGCCATCCATCATTGCACTGGTGGTCTACCTTCACCCCACTGACCTTTTGCTTTTTATTTTTGTTAAAAGTAATTGTCAATGTTTAAAATGATTGGACCAATGACTGTAAAAAATATGGACGACACGACAGCCCCTTTTCCCATTGAACGCCTTGAGGGCAAAACGCCTGCTTGACGGGCACAAACTGTCGCAAAAGACTGCTGAAATTGGAGCCTTGACATGCGCAGAAGGATTGTCTGATGGAGCCAGAGGAGGAGCCGCGATAATGAGCGGAGTCGAGCTTCCAACCAAACGCTTTATGTAAAATCAACTACGCCCCCCGAACTTCTCACTTGACTGCCGGTGTCTGCACTATAACAAACGCTCACTGATGTAAATAGAAGCACTTACATTAAAAAAAACACAATAATATACGGTTTAAAAACGGTGTGATGTAAGCTGTTAAACTTTAATAAAAGCAATACATGGTGGACTGCAGAAATAAACAATCTTTTATACACTCCAGCCTGAATATGAGCACAAATAATATATTCTCTTATTGTTATATTTGTTGTTGGTATTTGTTATCTTCATAGGGGTAGAAATAACACTTGTAAAATATGAACAATAACATATAAACAACACATACATTTTTAGAAAGGTTTTTATTTTTAATTAGCCATCAACAGAACCCAAAATATAGCCTACACACCATAACGATTTACCATGCGGGAACAATCGTGCGTTTAGAAGATAAATACAGCAAGATTACTAAATATCAACAGGATATTTACACATCCCAACCCTGCAATTTGTCAATTTGTGCAAAAAAACTTTGCACTATTAATACAACGTCTATCTGCTGCAACATCACTAGTATATTGTTTATTCATTTTCGCTTGAATTGTTTATTTATTTCATTTTTTTGCCTCCGTTTTCATTTGGTTTATTCGATGCCTTCATTATATCTGGCAACGAGGAATTTACATTCATTTTAATGTTAGCTGGAGTGTTCAAATAAAACGCCAACAGTAAATGATGTAAATAAATAATATCTAACATTTACAGCTCTATTAGGTTATATATTCGATTTCAAGAACCGTACAATGATTTATAACAGCAAATTCAGTAGATCACTTAATAACATGCCAAAACTTAAAATGCAGAGACGTCCTATAAAGCAAGTTCAAATAACCTTACAGGAGATCAACGTGGAGATTATTATTTAGACACAAAGAGAATTACTGCTAACGATCTCCTGTATTTTCCCCGTACTTAAATGGGTTTTTTTTTTATTGTGCAGTTTTATTGTCATTTTCGTATTTCTTAATTCTTGTGCACTACAAAATGTATTCAATTGTATTATTATTTAATGCTTGTGCAATCGATACAGGTTTATTGTTATTTATTTTGTCCTTTATTTAAATAATTGCTATGTATGCTGTTTGCATCTTTATTCAAAGGTTAAACTCAGTGATACACTTTGCGTTCACAAAGTAGCATGCGTTTGTTGTTATATCAACAAAAATGGTTGTAATAACGTTAACAAATATGAGGGTTTTATATAATGAAGATTCAATCGCGCCAGCTCCGGGCAGCAGCTCACATAACCTACTCGCGGCGTCGCGTGCTGATTCCGGCTCGCATGCGGCAGCGCCTGCTCGCTCGGCCGCCGCATCTGGCTCAATTGACTCAGGCTGGAATCGGGCAGTGAGTCCAGGCATCCGGAGTAGGTCCAGCAGAGGTAGTCAGTCTGAGGGGTAAGTCTCCGGCAGGCGAGAACTGGCCCCAGTGATTTTGCTATCTGGGTGGCTAAGCGTGTATTAGCAAACTAATAAAGCCCGAAAAAAGCTCTGACCTTAGCGAATAAACAGTGTTCCACCAGATCATGTATGTCAGAAACTGTAGTTTACTGCTGAACTCATTTTGTCATAGTAAAATATCACAGAAATCGAGTAATAACACTTCAGTCTCCTGCCGAAGCTCAGACGCGCTGCTTTGAGAAACTGTCAATCACAACTGTCAATCACGATGACACGCCCAGCATTAAATTACTGCTAAAAACAAACTGTTTACAAAAATGAAGATCTGCACCTATTTCAGCACCATAATTATTAGTGCCTTAATCGACCAGAACCATCTTTCGGGACATTTTATTGCAAGTGTAATTAATTTTTTTATTTGGGCTCAAGTCTCCTTCATTAACACGGAGGAGGTGGGCTTTATGACTTGTACTGCAGCCAGCCCCCAGGGGGCGATCTAACGGCCGAGACCTTCACTCAAACGCAGGCTTGCGGCACACTTGGATTGGGCAATGGGTTAAACATTTCAAAACTGATTTCTGTACCATACAAGTTATCTGGCCACAAAGCACTGTATGCTCTATTTTCACTTTCAGTTTGGCTGATTACACACATTTATGGTCTGAGAATCTTCTTGCTGTGACAGCCATACACTGGTGAAAAATATATTGGAAAAAATAGAAAATATATCTACTGTAGCGCTTGAAGATTGCTAAATGGATCTAAACAATTATCATCTCTGTTTGTCTCCAGTCTGTGTGTTTGCAGTATTAAAGAGAAGCAGTGTGAGATCCTGACTTCAGCTCTGAAATCAAACCCATCACACCTGAGAGAACTGAACCTCAGTGGGAATGAACTCAAGCACAGAAGAGTGAAGCAATTTTTTGATGTGCTGAAAAAATCAACCTGTAAACTGGAGCGACTGAGGTGAGAAACACTAACAGCTAAGAAACTGCCTCTTGGAAGTGGATGAAACAGAATTTTATTACTTTCAGAAATTTATCCTAAATCTCTTAATGCAGGTTAAGATACTGTAGTATACAAGCCGATGATTGTACTGATCTGGCTTCAGCTCTGAAATCAAACCCATCCCACCTGAGAGAACTGGACCTCAGTGGAAACAATCTAGGAGACTCTGGAGTGAAAAAACTCAGTGATTTACTGATAAACCAACAATTCAAGCTGGAGAAACTACGGTTAGTATCATTATACTGTACAGCAGTAAGATGAAAGCTTATGTTATCTGATTGACTGATGGTTCATGCTGTATGTGTCAGTAGACAACATGAACTACTGAAGCAATTGAAACTTAGTGGTTGTAAATGTGTTTTATATGCTCACAGTCTGCAAAATCGCTGCTACAAAAAGAGTAAAATTTTAGATTAGTTTGCTGTCAGAATAAAATGTCTTCATGATTTATCCCACCATTATCATCCAAGATAGTTTTTTTTCTTTATTCAGTGAACAGTAAATAGTTTTTTTATGGAAAACATGCTCCACTTTTCTTCTTAGAAAGGTTTTGTAAGGTGCTTAGTGATCTGAACTTTAACACTGCTTTTGTTTCAGTGCAGTTTCAAAAAGTTCTAAATTATATTTTAGGGTCATACCAAGGTGAAATAAATAAATACATAAATATATTTGTAAGTTTAAACCACTGAGCACCATAGAAGTCAACTATATGCTGCAAAATCCAACATGTTTTCCTTAAAAAAAAAAAAAAAGATATATATATATATATTGGTTTAAAGTACTGTAACATCATTTGCTGGACTATTTTGTTAGAGTACATGGTTTAAAATGACCATTGATACATTTTAGAAAATTTACTTTTAAACGAAAAAATGTTTTAGTTATTTTTGTTTAAAATATATACTGGAATAGTTGACGGTTCAATCCTCTGTGGCGACCTCTCATATACTGTATAAAGGACTAAGCCGAAGGAAAAAATAATGTATGTTTTTGTAGTTAACCTAGTTAATGCTATCAAATTATAATTCATGGCCAGATTGTATTAGTTTTCTTAAACTAACCTCATGAACCCTATTTTTATTCTATATTTCAATTCTATTCCCAAATCCTAGTTATTCTTCTTTCTTGATCATGTTGGTGTATTAGTTACTGTGCCTCATTCACTCATGATGTACTACACTCAATTTCCCACTGAATCTGATTCATTGTCTTTTCTCTTTCTGTCTTCAGTCTGAGTTATTGCAGTATTACAGAGAAACAGTGTGTGATCCTGACTTCAGCTCTGAAATCAAACCCATCACACCTGAGAGAACTGAACCTCAATGGGAATAGACTAGGAGACTCTGGAGCTGATGGCCTTAACCATCTGCTGAGCAGTGTGGATTGCAAGCTAAATAAACTACAGTTAGTATCATTATTGTGTACAGAAGTACTGCTTGGTTGAATTTTACTGTTGAGTTATTTTTTAAAAAGACCAATTAACTTTTTTAAATTTTATAATTATATTTGACTTACTTTATTTAAAGAAATTGACAAAAGTGAAAATGGAAAAACCTGACAGAATTCTATTATTTAATAATATTATTTAATTCTAGAGTTCTATTATTCTGACGGTTTCTACAACATTGATGGTAGTGAAGACTAAGTAGGGTCAATAACTCATGTTTTGGAGGTTAGTTTATAAAGTTAGCAACAGAAGATTGTCTCAAATATTTGTTAAATTGATCATTTTTCATATACATTTCTGAACTAAAACAGGTTTTAACAGGTATTAACTCTGAAAAGCAAGAAAAGGTCCATTGGTACAAACAATATTACCACTACACAAACTTTTCAATTAGTTCTGTGTCAATGTTCTATTTTTAATATACACTTTTATCTTATAACTTTTATTAACTGCTGATAATGGCTCTAAAACTGAGTTTAGTAGTATCAAATCCTAGCTATATTGTTTATGGTTCTGTAAGTAAGTTTCCATCATCCATTTCTAGAATATGTTTATGGCATTCATAAATTACAAATTAATCCATACACAAATTTAAAATCTGATGTCATTGATTTTTCTGTTTCTGTCTTCAGTCTGTGTGATTGCAGTATTACAGAGAAACAGTTGCTCATCCCAATCACAGCTACGTGTATGGGCCTATTACACCTGAGAGAACTGGACCTCAGTAAGAACCAAATAAAAAACCAAGGAGTGTACATGCTGTGTGATGTGCTGAAAAACCCACGCTGTAGACTCAAGAGGTTAAGGTGAGGAGGACACAAGAAAATGCTTAAAATATTTTTAACTTTGTATTTAACTTTAAAGCTTTTACTCACCATCTCACAAAGGACTTTACAATATATTTGTGGGAAATAATTCCTGCTAGTGATGGGCTTTATTTTAGCAAACTCTCACCAGGTTTTCATTTTTTTAGTTAATTGTATTTCAGTGAACAGTAAAATTTATAAAATGAGTAAGTATGCGCTTTAACAAAAATGGCAGAGGCCATAGAGCAAACAAAAGCAGGATAACTGCATGACACAATTTCTCCAAACTTTATGCACAAAATAGTATTTCATTATCTTTTTCACAACCAGAGGAAGTGTCTTTCAACAAGTTTGTTTATTAAATAAGAAGCTGATTTCTCCATCAGTTGTTACCAGCTGAAACATAATCATCCATTCAGTAATTATCCAATGGGAGGCTCTTTTATATATATATATATATATATATATATATATATATATATATATATATTTTTTTTTATATATATATATATTTTTATACCACCAGATATATATATATATTTATAGCGTAGATAGCAGGATCTGGTGGTTTACAGTGTCAAAAGCAGCTGACAAATCCAGCAAGATGAGGACTGATGATTTTGAGTCTGCTTTAGCCAGTCTGAGATCCTCCACGACCAAGAGCAGGGCAGTCTCAGTTAAGTGGCCTTTCTTAAAGCCAGATTGCTTGTTGTCCATGAGATTGTTTTGAGTGAGAAATCCAGGACTTGATTGAACACGACTTTTTCCAGAATCTTAGCCATGAATGGAAGCAGGGATATTGGTCTGTAGTTTTCAAGTAGCGTATGATACAGGTTGGGTTTCTTTAGCAGTGGGGTTACCCTAGCCTGTTTAAATGATGTGGAAAATAAACCAGAGTCAAGGGATTTGTTGATTATGTGTGTCAGTGTTGGTATGACTGCAGGAGAAATGGCTTGCAATAGATGAGTGGGAATGGGATCAATTGGACAGGTGGTTGCATGGCTAGATAGCACGAGTTTGGTCACCTCAGACTCAGAGAGCTGAGAAAAATAGGTGAGTGTGTGTGGTGTTGGTGGTGTATCTTGCCTGTTTGTAGTAGGTGCAGTAAATTGAGCACTGATTTTTGCAGATTTTTGTTTTTGATTTTTGTTTTTGTAAAAATATGTACTGTCATCAGTAGTTAGTGTGGAGGATGCGAGTGGCGGAGGAGGATAGCGGAGGGAGGTTTTTAAAAGTAGGTGAGGATTGGTGGCATTGTTGATTTTTTGATGGAAGTATGACTGTTTTGCAGAAGCAACCTCAGCTGAGAAAGAGGACAGAAGAGTTTGGTATGTTAAGAGATGTGTAGGATTTTTAGTTTTTCGCCAAATTCTCTCTGCAGCCCGAAGTTTTGAGCGATGCTCACGGAGAACATCAGAGAGCCAGTATGCAGGAGGACTGGCATGGGCTGGCCTGGATGTAAGAGGACATAGTCTGTCTAGACATGATGCTAGTGTGGAGCAGAGCGTATCAGTGGCACTGTTAGTATCCAGCGTAGCAATTTTGCAAGGTGGAGGAAGAGAGTCTAAAACAATGGTGGATAGTCTATTGGGTGAGAGAGAGCATAGGTTTCTGCGAAAGGCAACCAGTGTTGGAGTGTGTGGCGGTTCAAGAGTAATGTGGATGTTGAGAGACAGAAGGAAATGATCCGATTTGTGTAGTGGAGTTACTAGTGTTTGGTCAGCGAAGCAATGTCGAGTGTAATTAAGGTCCAGCTGATTACCTGATTTGTGAGTAGCAGAAGTAGGTGCTCTTTTGAGGTCAAAAGAGGCAAGCAGAGTCTGAAAGTCAGCAGCTTGTGGTGTTTCAATGTGGATATTGAAGTCACCTAGCACCACAAGGGAGTGTTATAATCAGAAAAAGATGAGAGAAGAACATCCAATTCATCTAAGAAGTGACCTAGTGTACCAGGTGGGCGGTAGATGACAGCCACATTTATGTAGAAGGGGTGGATAATGGTGACTGCGTGGGATTCAAAGGAGCTGATCTTTGACAGGGATGGTCTTTGAGTAAATTTCCATGCTCTGGAAATCAGTAGTGCATTACAGAACTGTCTTACCTACAAAACAATAATTTAATTCCTTAAAAAAATAATGTACTTTTACAGTAAAAGCTTGCATATTAAAACTAACCAGCAGGCACAGGAACTCAACATGATTTCAGATTGACATTGTACCCCCAACGTTGTGGGATGTTGCATTTTAGGTTGACATCAGAACTTAACGTCAGTGTCCAACGTCGAACAGACATTGCATTTTGGTCACTTTGCAACATACCTAAAAACAACCAAATATCAACGTCTAATGATGTTATAGCTTGATGATGTGTGGACGTTACCACTATGATATCTATTAGATGTTGGATTTTGGCAGGCATACCTGACTAATAAATGTCAGTATTCAATGTCAATACGACGTTGCCATAAAATGTTGGCTTAAAGTTGGATTTTGGTCACTTACCAAAGTTAAACAAAGTTAAAAACAACCAAGTATTAAAGACATTTGACATTGTTATTGGACAATTCATTTACAATGAATTTTAGTCACTCCACCTCACAACCTAAATCTAACCGAATATTAACATCTTATGATGTTGTGTTCCTGCTGAGTAGTGTCAGACAAGCTCTTGTGGTTAAAAAGTATACACGTTTTCCTTCTTCATTAATATTTTTCTTGAGTTTGACACTTTATACAAGTGTCAAAAACAGAAAGTAGCACAGTCTCTTTGTTTATGGGGGTTTCATGAGCTACTGTCAGATAAACTTCTTTTTCATTCAGGTTGTGTCCTTCATCTGTGGTGTTTGACCATCTGGGAGTGACATAAGCAATGGTCTCTGTTTATCTACAGCAGGCCATTATAGCTTGCTAAAGCTCTAGAAATTCTCTGCCAACAGAAATCTATCAGATGAAATTACTCATCACATTATGGCTATACTTTTACATATACAAAGAAAATACAAATTTACCTGCAACCCCAGGGTCAATATTGATATCTATTTTTTTCTGTGACACATTTTTTCTGTGTCTGTCTCTTTCTAGACTAAATGACTGTGGCATTACAGATGTTACACCCTTAACTCAGTCTTTGACCAAGGACAAAGCATTGAAGTTCTTAAAAGAGCTTGAACTGAGTAAAAATCAAATGGGATTCTTCGAAAAGCAAAAACTCAGTGACCTGCTGCGAGACTCAAACTGTAAACTGAGGTGAGAAAATATCTGGTCAACATCTATCTCATTGAGCAGAACTGAAGTGGGGTTCATTACAAGACAATAGTTAAAACTATTGCAAAATGCACTTCAATTCTTTTGGTTTAGTGACTGTTCATCAAATTAAAATTAATTAGTTTTGTGAATGAAGATTTTCTAAATATGGTATGTACAATATTGCCTTGCTCCGGGTGCTCCGTTTTCCTCCAGAAGTCCAAAGACATGCACCATAGGTGAATTGGGTAAGCTAAATTTGTTCGTAGTAAATGTGTGTGAATGAGACTGTATGGGTGTTTCCCAGTAATGGGTTGCAGCTGGAAGGGCATCCGCTGTGTAAAACATATGTTGTATAAGTTGGCGGTTCATTCCGCTGTGACGACCACAGATTTAAAAAGGGACTAAGCCAAAAAGAAAAATGAATGAATATTTCCTTGTCTTGGTATTGTGAGCCCAGTGTTGTTTATCATCACACCCCTGCTTTTTTGCTCATTAAAATAACAGTGATTATTCTCAGCTTGTGCCACTACACACTTGTCTGTTGAATTTTTCATTGCAGGCTTGAGGAAGAAGAAGGTTATTTTAGAGCTGGTGTAAAACGGGTTACTACATTTTTGATGCCTCCATGGTCAAAAGTTCAAAAACCTGTGGATCTCACAGGAGAGGAAAGTTCATCATCAGATGAGGACGCCTCTGAAGGTTCTCAATACAGTACTGTTGTAAATCTCTCTCTGTGTGTGTGTGTGTGTGTGTGTGTGTGTGTGTGTGTGTGTGTGTGTGTGTGTGTGTGTGTGTGTGTGTGTGTGTGTGTGTGTGTGTGTGTGTGTGTGTGTGTGTGTGTGTGTGCGTGCGCGTGTGTTTGCGTGTGTTTGCATGTGTTTGCGTGTGTTTGTGCGTGCGTGCGTGCGTGTGGCTGGTTTGAGTAATTGTTAAACAGGAAATAATACATACTCAAAATACATCACAATTAAGAAGAGATTTCTTATGCATACTTTTGGAATATGTGTTGTATATTGTATATATTTATTGTTGGTTTGTATTCATACAAGGGTATTTTTATTATTTTTTTTACAGATGAGACTGATCAGGCAGAGGAGGCTGATAAGCTCTCAAATGAGGCGGATTAGTTGGAAGTGCAGTATAACAACTACATCATGATGTTGGGAGTCAATTTTAGCTTTTCTGTCAAATGATATAAACAATGTCCAATGTGAACAATTAATTTCTTATGGTCTACATGTACACGGGTTCAAATAAGTATTAGTAATATGCATTGTTTTTATTCATTTAGATTGTAGTTACTGTATATATGACAGATAGGTTTTGCATATATTTTAGTTTTTTACCTTTTATATGCATCATTTTCATTTAAATTTGTAGTAAGTTCTGTGTCTGTCTACAATAAATGATTGAATATCTCTCTACTAAAAAAGCTTTGGCTGTTGGAAGATGTTGTCAGTTTTCCCACATCAGCCATAAGTAACCTTTAATACAACCAGCTGACATCCCCAACAGGGATGGTCTTTGAGTAAATTTCCATGCTCTGGAAATCAGTAGTGCATTACAGAACTGTCTTACCTACAAAACAATAATTTAATTCCTTAAAAAAATAATGTACTTTTACAGTAAAAGCTTGCATATTAAAACTAACCAGCAGGCACAGGAACTCAACATGATTTCAGATTGACATTGTACCCCCAACGTTGTGGGATGTTGCATTTTAGGTTGACATCAGAACTTAACGTCAGTGTCCAACGTCGAACAGACATTGCATTTTGGTCACTTTGCAACATACCTAAAAACAACCAAATATCAACGTCTAATGATGTTATAGCTTGATGATGTGTGGACGTTACCACTATGATATCTATTAGATGTTGGATTTTGGCAGGCATACCTGACTAATAAATGTCAGTATTCAATGTCAATACGACGTTGCCATAAAATGTTGGCTTAAAGTTGGATTTTGGTCACTTACCAAAGTTAAACAAAGTTAAAAACAACCAAGTATTAAAGACATTTGACATTGTTATTGGACAATTCATTTACAATGAATTTTAGTCACTCCACCTCACAACCTAAATCTAACCGAATATTAACATCTTATGATGTTGTGTTCCTGCTGAGTAGTGTCAGACAAGCTCTTGTGGTTAAAAAGTATACACGTTTTCCTTCTTCATTAATATTTTTCTTGAGTTTGACACTTTATACAAGTGTCAAAAACAGAAAGTAGCACAGTCTCTTTGTTTATGGGGGTTTCATGAGCTACTGTCAGATAAACTTCTTTTTCATTCAGGTTGTGTCCTTCATCTGTGGTGTTTGACCATCTGGGAGTGACATAAGCAATGGTCTCTGTTTATCTACAGCAGGCCATTATAGCTTGCTAAAGCTCTAGAAATTCTCTGCCAACAGAAATCTATCAGATGAAATTACTCATCACATTATGGCTATACTTTTACATATACAAAGAAAATACAAATTTACCTGCAACCCCAGGGTCAATATTGATATCTATTTTTTTCTGTGACACATTTTTTCTGTGTCTGTCTCTTTCTAGACTAAATGACTGTGGCATTACAGATGTTACACCCTTAACTCAGTCTTTGACCAAGGACAAAGCATTGAAGTTCTTAAAAGAGCTTGAACTGAGTAAAAATCAAATGGGATTCTTCGAAAAGCAAAAACTCAGTGACCTGCTGCGAGACTCAAACTGTAAACTGAGGTGAGAAAATATCTGGTCAACATCTATCTCATTGAGCAGAACTGAAGTGGGGTTCATTACAAGACAATAGTTAAAACTATTGCAAAATGCACTTCAATTCTTTTGGTTTAGTGACTGTTCATCAAATTAAAATTAATTAGTTTTGTGAATGAAGATTTTCTAAATATGGTATGTACAATATTGCCTTGCTCCGGGTGCTCCGTTTTCCTCCAGAAGTCCAAAGACATGCACCATAGGTGAATTGGGTAAGCTAAATTTGTTCGTAGTAAATGTGTGTGAATGAGACTGTATGGGTGTTTCCCAGTAATGGGTTGCAGCTGGAAGGGCATCCGCTGTGTAAAACATATGTTGTATAAGTTGGCGGTTCATTCCGCTGTGACGACCACAGATTTAAAAAGGGACTAAGCCAAAAAGAAAAATGAATGAATATTTCCTTGTCTTGGTATTGTGAGCCCAGTGTTGTTTATCATCACACCCCTGCTTTTTTGCTCATTAAAATAACAGTGATTATTCTCAGCTTGTGCCACTACACACTTGTCTGTTGAATTTTTCATTGCAGGCTTGAGGAAGAAGAAGGTTATTTTAGAGCTGGTGTAAAACGGGTTACTACATTTTTGATGCCTCCATGGTCAAAAGTTCAAAAACCTGTGGATCTCACAGGAGAGGAAAGTTCATCATCAGATGAGGACGCCTCTGAAGGTTCTCAATACAGTACTGTTGTAAATCTCTCTCTGTGTGTGTGTGTGTGTGTGTGTGTGTGTGTGTGTGTGTGTGTGTGTGTGTGTGTGTGTGTGTGTGTGTGTGTGTGTGTGTGTGTGTGTGTGTGTGTGTGCGTGCGCGTGTGTTTGCGTGTGTTTGCATGTGTTTGCGTGTGTTTGTGCGTGCGTGCGTGCGTGTGGCTGGTTTGAGTAATTGTTAAACAGGAAATAATACATACTCAAAATACATCACAATTAAGAAGAGATTTCTTATGCATACTTTTGGAATATGTGTTGTATATTGTATATATTTATTGTTGGTTTGTATTCATACAAGGGTATTTTTATTATTTTTTTTACAGATGAGACTGATCAGGCAGAGGAGGCTGATAAGCTCTCAAATGAGGCGGATTAGTTGGAAGTGCAGTATAACAACTACATCATGATGTTGGGAGTCAATTTTAGCTTTTCTGTCAAATGATATAAACAATGTCCAATGTGAACAATTAATTTCTTATGGTCTACATGTACACGGGTTCAAATAAGTATTAGTAATATGCATTGTTTTTATTCATTTAGATTGTAGTTACTGTATATATGACAGATAGGTTTTGCATATATTTTAGTTTTTTACCTTTTATATGCATCATTTTCATTTAAATTTGTAGTAAGTTCTGTGTCTGTCTACAATAAATGATTGAATATCTCTCTACTAAAAAAGCTTTGGCTGTTGGAAGATGTTGTCAGTTTTCCCACATCAGCCATAAGTAACCTTTAATACAACCAGCTGACAGCATTATAATGCCCTGCACAAGTTGCTTGTCTGTACAGTGATCAGACAGTCTAAATTATTTTTGATTAATGGTTTTTAGTAATAATGTATACAGTTATATTGCATGGTAATGTATTGTAAACATAAATAAAAATGTGATCATTGTATTTGCTTTGATCTGTTCATTTTTTCAGTAGCTAATAATGTATAACCTTAATAAGCATAATAAGCAGTAGATGCAGTTATTCTCCTGCTTAACTATACAGTGGAGATCAGAATATGAAAACAATGTGCAGTCTTCTAAATCTCCTAAATCTTTTCAAGGACTGGTCAGTAGGGCTGCTTGATACAGGAAAAATCGGACCTTGCGATATTGTATTTTTCTGCGTTGTATGTTGCAATATGAATACAATTTCACCAGATGAATTTAATAGCTTATATATATAATATACAAATGGTACAATTTCTTGCATGTTGCTTTAAACTCTCTTAAAATGCTCACACAGTCACAGGCCTTAAAATCACATGTACATGATATGCTCTCACATATTATGGCTAGTCACTGCAGTGACTCTACAAACCTCATGTGTTCTGAAATGTGGTGCTGCTTAACTATAATCCCAACTCAACATTGCATGTGCCGTGATGTGACTATTGCAGATGCGCACATTGCGATATATTGATGTTAAAACGATACATTGTGCAGCCCTAATGCTCAGAAATGTCCAAACTTGGTAACCTTTGATTTGACCCACCATACCATATAAGAAGAGAGTAAGAATGAATAGGAAGGTTTATGGTGAATGCCTTTTACAGAAACTGTAATTTCTAATTTAACATAATTATTTTTTTTTTTTTGGTTCATTGATGAGCTACAAAAAAAGCAAGCTGAAAATGCATGTTTAATTTAAATGTAATTGATTGATGTTTATATATAGGCCTATATATATATATATATATATATATATATATATATATATATATATATATATATATATATATATATATATATAGGCTAATCACTCGACTCAACAGATGCACATTTGCAAGCAAATTAAGGCCAAAAAAAAAAACAAAAAAAAAAAAACAGGTGCAACATGACTGGTAACACCATTCTTTTATAAATGTGATTTTTAATTTTTTTACTCTAATAAGTTCATCATAAAATTAAAAAATATATTTTGCATTAGTTAATATAAAGCAATGCTTTATATTGGCCCTTATAATGGCCCTTTATAAGAAAAAGCTTGAGCACCCTTGGTCTTGTATAAAGTATGTACTGTACCGTATATGAGTTACATTCGTAAAAATAAACATGAAATAGAGCACTGATCAAAACTAGAGAACATTTTCAGATTATCCGTCGTGGTTATTGGTGTCAATTTGCTACCTGGTGGCCAATTCCTTCAATATCTGACAAACCAGATAATCTCTTTAAATGGAAGTTTAACTTTCTGGATGTTTAACCGAAACATTTCAACAGCAGGTTGACCAGATGAAGACCAAAGAGACACTTTCAGTCATGGCAAAACAAGTTAGTCCCTGAATCTCTGATTTCTTTACTGCATCATTACAATTTTACTAACTCAATCATGTTATCTAAAAGGCTAATCCACGAAAGCGAAGTAATGTGGAGAATATCATGGTCAATCGGTTAAGTACAGCTGGAATATATCTAAAAATAGAAAACATTATAAAGCACACTAACTACTGCTGTGCTTCAAGCTCCTGCAATTTATTGCTCTAACCTTGATCACTGTTTTCTACAAAATACATTTTTGTTGATCTGCCTTGGCTCACACAGTTTTCAATAAGATTGGCTTAGCCAGAAATTCCTTCAAATTTAAAATAATTAATCATTTTTAAGGGGCTAGGAGGGATGTTCTCTAATTTTTGTGCCCACTGTAGACTATCTGAAAAGGTGACCTCTGCAGTTTCTCTTGATAACCAATAGATGTCATTATATCGCATAATTTGAAGTGAAAGCCACAATTTTACCGCGACTAACCTAAAAATCTACAACAGAAAACTATCGGGTATTCCGAATACGCAGGCTTTTTTGAACAGGTAAAATTATTATAATCATAAACTTTCACTTTCCAATACTCCAAATGCACTGCTTAGTGAAAGAATAGGTCAAATGGTGGAGCACTTTGAATGAGGAGGGTCTTTTATTTTATATATTTTTAATCTATCCTACCTTGACTGCCGCTCTATCAAACGATTGACCATGTTTTTACTGTTAATAATAATGATTGATAATCATTGATCGTTTTAAATAATGGTTTACACACAGCATTGTTGGTCAAAATCAAACAAACAATCCTGTCGCACTGCTACACTTTATTTTGGTTTTGTTTTAAAAAAGAAAACAAGAAACATGTTAAATAAAAATCTGAAATATTTTACGGCATACTTAAAGATTATTTTAGCACTTTATATTTTCTGAATTTCTTAGTATTTGTATTAATTCCGGTACTTAAACCGACATATTAATCATTTGCAAGAGGCTGATATTTTAGAAATTATGAGATGTGTTAAAAAATGCATTGAGTGTGTTAACTAGTGACAGAGTAAAGTAATGCAATCCAAACATGTTTTTCTTGGTGGGGTAGTTAAATGGTTAATATATATTTATTAATTTATATATAAATAATTATCTTATTTAATATATCTTACTTTTTATAAAAGGTGACATTTGCAGTTTCTCTTGATTACCACTAGAGGTCATTACAATCAAATTTTGAAGTAAAAGCCACAATTTTACCAGGGCAAAATCTACAGCAGAAATAGTTACAGCTCTGTGTGTGATTGCTTTTCCTCCAGTGCTCTATTATTTCTCTCTGTGCTCCACCATTTTCCCTCTTCATAGACTTTCCTAGTGTTCAGATTATGTAATACAGATAAATTATCATAATTAGTCAGACCCATAGATGGTCAGACATCACTAATTTGGTATGTAAATACAATATATATATATATATATATATATATATATATATATATATATATATATATATATATATATATATATATATATATATATATATATATATTTATTTATTTATTTTTTTTTTATTATTTCCCCCCCCCCCCCATTTTTTACTTAGAAAGCCAGTTATGCATTAAACTTCATAAGCAAACTAGATTTTACCAGAGACTAGACTTACAAGATTTCCATGCAGTAACAAACTGCTCTTAAACTATGTTTTATTTCATCTATACATTCATTTAACTTATTAGAGCTTTTTCATTCGTAAGTTTTATTATAAATGTGTTATCTTTTCCCCTAACCTGATATTGTGTTTAAATTAAAAATATTAATATAGTAAATATTTTCACAAGGTGTGTGTTTCAGTGTGTTTGGGAAAATGAAGCAGGTCGCGCGCATATCTTGGGGTGTCGCGGGCGCGCGTGCACGGCAGCATCATCACGCGCAGCATCTTTCGCCCACCGACAACTCTAAATTTCTCTTAATATATACTTTTCAGACAAAAATAGCCTTTACCACCGCGTCGTATCAGGAAATATCACTCTCCAGGATAACCGTGAGGATCTGTGCTGCCGGATTAAGAGTGTTTTCATGGAAAAATGGCGAGATGGGCTCACGCGTGTCTGCTGCTGCTGCTGATGGTGATTCTCGGCGGATCCTGGACCGCAGTGAACGCGCTCACATTTCCTCAGCATTACACGTAAGAAGAACATTTTCATATTATTACAGGATAACATGAAATATTGTCTCATTCATGCTGTATTAAATGTAAGGCACCCTGTTACACAGCATGAAACAAACGTTCGTTTCAACAGCACCTCACAAATGAAAATGTTAATTCCAGCATTTCCACAACGTTACACAGAAGAAAAGCTCGTTTGCACAACAGGATAGGTTAGAAACATTCGTTGTCAACAACGTTTCTCATAAGAAAAACTCATTTACACAACATGTTTTGCCTATACTTAACAAATGTTCGTTTTCAGACTACTTACACCTTATTTACCAAAAGACAGACGTAAGAAATTAGTTTACACAACGCCAGTCGTAAAAAAAAAAAAAGATTATTTACATGTAGCCTATATGAAGTGTTAATTTCCACAATGTTCCATAAATGTTCAGTTCTCTGACAGTACTCATTTCCATGACATTACAGTTAGACATATCAATACCACATTTCACATTAGAAAATGGTCATTTACACATTAATATTGATTACATTTAAGAAAAACTTCACAGCATAACACCTTAAAAGTAGAAATTTCCACTGTAATTTTTTTGATTTACATTAATTTCTACTGCATTACATTGAGAAAATATAATCTCCAGTACACTGTAAAAATGCAGGGTTCCACACAATGTTCCAACACAAATCGATTAAGTTTACAAATTAAAGTGAACTGAACGTAAAACAATTGATGTCTCCCAGTAAGCTCAAGAATTGCGTTGATTCAGCTCATTTTAACTAAGTAGATTGAACAAGTAGCAAAAATAATTTGAGTGTTTGCTCATTTACACATTTAACATACCGTAAGAGAAAGGAAATTTTACAAGGGTAATCATATGAAGGGCTGCACGGTGGCGCAGTGGGTAGCACGTTCGCCTCACAGCAAGAAGGTCGCTGGTTCGAGTTCTCAGCGGTCGCTGGTTCGATTCAGTTGGCGTTTTCTGGTGTGGGTTTCCTCCTGGTGCTCTGGTTTCCTCCACTAGTCCAAAAAGATACAGATAGGTACAGGTGAATTGGGTAGGCTAAATTGTCCGTAGTGTATGTGTGTGATTGAGCGTGTATAGATATTTTCCAATAATGGTTTGCGGCTGGAAGGGCATCCGCTGTGTAAAACATATGCTGGATAAGTTGGCTGTTCATTCCGCTGTGGCGACCCCAAACTAATAAAAGCCACTAATCCGAAAAGAAAATGAATAAATGAATGAACTCATTTACACATTACAGCATATACAAGGAGTAATACTTTTACAGTACACTCATAAAAAGATTTCTGTTCAAACTACTTAAAGTAAGTAAAAAAAGAAAAAACACGATTCTGCTGATTTATTGGGGGAAACTTAATTGTTTTGTTTTCAATCTAGTCAGATTAGCTATTTTCATTTAGTGGATTTGTGTGTAAATAACAAAAATGTACTGTGTGGGAACCTGCAACCTGCAATTCTTTACAGTGCATGTAAGAAATAATCACTTCTACAATATCACCCTTGAAAAGTACTCATTTCCCCAATGTTAAATTATATATATATATATATATATATATATATATATATATATATATATATATATATATATATATATATATATATATATATATATATATATATATATATATATATATATATATATATATATATATATATATATATAACTCTGTGGTGAGCTATTTTGGAAAATATAAACAGAAGTTTTGATACAATGTCAGCATGTAGTTTCTGTGTGAAATTATGTTTTGAGTTTTTACTGCAAGTGTCACATCCATAACGCTGGAATTGCTTATATATATATATATATATATATATATATATATATATATATATATATATATATATATATATATATATATATATATATATATATATATATATATATATATATATTCATTTCCACATTATTACACACAACTGAAATTTTCAGTGGAGCAATTCCAGCGTTATGAATGTGACATTTTAATTAAAATCTCAAAAGATAAATTCACAGAGAAAGCATTTCTTAAAGAGCCCATATTATACATGAAATAGGGTCATATCTTGGTTGTAAGGGTCTCCAACAACAGTCTAATATGCATGCAAGGTCAAAAAACACTTTCATGGTCTTATAATCTGCATTTATTTTTACCTAATTATCCCAGCGACTCCTGTATGAATCGTTCAGTGATTCATTTGTTCCCAAACCCCTCCTTAGTGCGAAGCTAATCTGCGCTGATTGGACCGATGACAGTCTGTCGCGATTGGTCGACTGCCTTCAGTCAGAGAGTGAAATGGCCAATAGCTAATCAGCAATTTAAAAAGTAATCACAGTTCATACACGCTAGATAGTGTAGGCGTGGATTTTAGCTGCCACACACACACAAACACACACACACACCTCCGGACGAGAACGCTCCCGCTTCCGCCCGCACCCGCCAGGTTTTAGCCTTAGAACCCGCCCCGTATTCTGCCTGCCGCGCCCGATCCCGCTAAAGAGCGGGGGAGAACAAAACCGAAAATCTGTATAAACACACACACAGCACCAAGCATAAAGCTCTCGCTCGCTCGCTCTCTCTCTCTCTCTCATACGCGCGCGTGCGCACTAACACACAAGCACCAAGCAGACACATCTTTCTCTTTCTCAGGCAGCCCGCTCCCGTCCCAAATCAAACCCGTTACCGACCGCTCCGGCGATTTATTCTGAAATTTATTCCCGCGCCGCAGAAATCTGGCGCGGGGACAGCCGCGGGTATGCACACCTCTAACGTTACCACGGAGCTCCATAAACAAAGCAGCACGCGTCGCGTTTTTAACGTGACTTTGCACGCGATAAGAGAATATAGCCAGTTAACCTGATACAGTACACTCGGTTACAAGTAACAAATCACAACTAAATACATTTGCAAGCTAGAGTCAACGAGGCAACAACTTTAACCGCACGTACTTACACTTGAGAAATGGAAGAAACCCATCCTGATGTCCATCAGTAAGTTACTGATCCTTCCTTTAACAAACGCAGATGAAGTATTCTTTGTAGCATGTAGCTTCCAGAAGTTTCCAGTAGTTTCCAACTGCTTGGCTATAATGCTGAGGTTTCATCTTTGGGTAGAGACTCAATATATCCATCTGCAATGTGACTTCAGTCGACCGGCATGTTTGTGTGCGTGTGTTTGTGGGTGTGTGTGTGTGTGTCTGGGTTACTGCGTCAGAGGGCGGGGCCTCAGGTTTGAAATCTCCCGGGTTTGCGCGTGCACGTGAAAAACTTTGTTTCGTTCGTACGTCATGGCGAAACACCTAATGAGTCGGTATCAAGGCGACTCGTTTGAAGCACTATGAATCGACTCTTTTATAGATGAATCAACAGTTTTAAACACTGTATTCTTACAGATTTAAGCCTTAGCTGGATACTTCACTTCACTTAGAGCTGTGTTACACACTACATGGAGGGGAATTTTCAAAAACCCATAATATGGGCTCTTTAAACAATATACTGAAACATCTGTCTATATTTTCCAAAACAACCAACCACAGAGTTATGGGGTCAGTAAACATTTCTTTTCTATTTTAAATTACTAAAATAAATGTGCGTTATGGAAATGACCAAAACAGTTAGTGAGTTTACAGTACACAACATGCTTTGGAGAAATTCTGTGAATTAAACTACACAACCCAACCGATTAATGCTAATTAAAAGGATAAGTGTTGCTCTCTATTGAACAAAAATGATTGATTTTATTTTATTTGACATTTTTGCATATATGAGGGAAAAGCTTGGTTATGGTTGTGAGATCTCTCTGTTATGGATGTGACAGATGTGAAATTGGCACTTTTGTGGCTTTGGTAAATCAAATAAAATAGTTTGAAAACACTTACAGAGACATTTTTGAGCATTTTGACAGTACTGTAAATCACTATTAAAAAAAGAATAAAAGCTATCACTGACTATCACTGATAAAAGCTTTCACTATTTTGGTGAAAATGTATTTTTTATGCCATTTGATGTTTACATGGAATTGATCAGTGTTGAATGCTAAAAAGTCCAATTTTCACATCATATGTGAGCAGTATTTGTTTCCACTGCATTACACATAAGACGACGTGATCATTTACACAACATTGCATTCAAAAAAATTGTATTTCCACAACACTATACTGGAAAAAGCTAATTTCCCTGCTATTACAATATTTTTATTAAAATTTTAAAGTTCTTTTTTTACACAAAGTTTAAAAGTCTATTTACAAAGGACTCCACTGCAAAACTAATTTACCTAAAATTATATGTAATGATTATTAACTGCAACATTACATGAGAAAAAATATACAGTTCTTAAGCATTAAACAAAAGAAGTGATCATCTATCTATCTATCTATCTATCTATATATCTATCTATCTATCTATCTATCTATCTATCTATCTATCTATCTATCTATCTATCTATCTATCTATCTATCTATCTATCTAGTCTGGCTTTCGTTCATCCATCCATCGATCCATCCATCCATCCTTCCTTTCTTCCTTCCTTCCTTCTTTCCTTCCTTCCCTTTTTTCTGTCTATCTGTCTATCTATCCATCCATCCCTCCGTCCGTCCGTCCGTCCGTCTGTCCGTCCTTCCTTCCTTCCTTCCTTCCTTCCTTCCTTTCTTTCTTTCTTTCTTTCTTTCTTTCTTTCTTTCTTTCTTTCTTTCTTTCTTTCTTTCTTTCTTTCTTTCTTTCTTACTTTCTTTCGGTCCATCCATCCATTCATCCATCCATCCATCCTTCCTTCCTTCCTTCTTTCTTTCTTTCTTTCTTTCTTTCTTTCTTTCTTTCTTTCTTTCTTTCTTTCTTTCTTTCTTTCTTTCTTTTATTTCTTTCGGTCCATCCATCCATCCATCCTTCCTTTATTCCTTCCTTCTTTCTTTCGGTCTATCTGTCCATCCATCCATCCATCCATCCATCCATCCATCCATCCATCCATCCATCCATTATCAGTGTAACCAGTCAGTGTTCTGTGGATTTAAGCTGAT